TTTTTTGTAATACAGATATTGTAATACTGTATTTATTATTAAATTTTACATTAAATTACCTTCAATTTGATATATAAACGTTTGTATTTAAGTGAAAATTAATATACTCTACAAGCACACAAAGTTGAAAAACATGAAACTTTCAAAAAGTGTCCACACTTTTGGCCACCACTGTATGTATGTATTAAAAAGATCTGGATTTCGGGGTTCTACGAAAAAACTATCAAAAAGTAACTTGGATTTAGTGAACCCAAATAAAGAGTATCAAAAGTGGTTACAAAAATATGAATTTCACGCAGCATTATTTTTTCGAATTGGAAATATTGGAATTTTTAAAGCTTTTTAAATTCTTAGAGATAATCACCGTAAAAGGCAAACGAAAAACTAAGTTGATTTAGATTAGCGCATTAAAAACTTGATTGCGCAATTCAAAATTTTTAAAAAAATTTAATTTAAGAAAAATTAGTAGTTTTTTGTTATTCTTTATTATTATTGTGTTCTGAGCCTCGATGACTCAGGGGATAGAGCGTTCGCCTTCCAATGAGATGAACCAGGTTCGAATCCAGCAATGGCTTTGTCGATACGTATTCCGCTTCTGGCTTGCACCGATCACAGTGCTGACGTGAAATATTCTTAGTGGTAGACGGATAATTGGCTAGAGTCCCCTTGCTGTCAGGCTAACCGTGGGAGAGTCTCGTGATCTTCCTCTCCATGTAACGCAAATGTGGGTTAGTTCCATCAAAAAGTCCTCCATGAAAGCAAATTTCTCCCAGTACTTGATCCAGGAGTTCCTTTGTCTTCTGGATTGGGCTCAAAATTGCAAGGCTACGGAGTTGAAAATTAGTGGTGGCAAACCTTAAATTGGGTCAGTTGTTCAACGACGGTTATAAAATTGAATATTGTTATGTTCAGGTGCTGTCCCGGGAGCTTATCAAAAGCAAACTGTGCACCCTTATCATAGTGTATTAATTTCGGGTCGTGCGCCCCCCCCCCTGCATGTGGGGATGTTATTTACCCCGCTGCCTCTTCCATCTACAAATAAATTTCATTTATTCTCAACACTTAAGATTATTATTTTTTTAAAGTTGCTTTTAAACACCTTTGGAAGGTGATTTTTGCTTTTAACTAACTTATAACGCATGCTTTTCTGTTAATTGCCTTTTTCATTACGGTTTTTCCCGATTATTCTCTGATAAGTAAATTTTTTTCCTGAGAAATTATGGGCTAGAGTTTGGTAAAAAAAGAAAATTAGTCTACTCATTTTTTTAATAAAAAAATTCCAAAATTTTTAAAACTGAAAATGGAATTTAATTATTTAATATGTTAAAAATAAATTGGAGTGGAAAAAGTATAGATTAAGAAATATAAAAAGTAATAAAATTCATGTCCTTTTTCGATCCTGAAGAAGTTTGAATGCGTCGTAAAGCTAATTAAATTACCCGATTATAATTTTACAATATGCCAAGTTAATTAAGTCCAGTCTTCTATAAGCAGGCCGACATTTTTAGGCTTATTGCAGTAAGCCTACGTACCTTTAGATGGATTATCACCCTTTCCTTTATTTGCCTCGTTTGTCTTAACCAGTTTTCAATAAGCTCAGGAGTAGTGGGGATTTATTATAAGTTTATTTCAGTTTAATGAAGAACGTAATTCTTCCTGAATTTTTTAATCATCATAAAAACTTGTAGGCTGATTGTGAATAGCCTAAAAACAAACATCAGTATTTATTTTTTTGTTCTCAGATACGCTTTTGAAAAGTGTTTCAATGAAACGAAAATAATTAATATCAAACTAAAATAATGAACTTAAATAATAAAAATCCACGGTAGTTAAAATAAAAAATTAGTTATGCACTCGAAAATTAAAATTAATGGGGGAAAAAAGGGTACTAATTCGCTTAGGTGAGACGAGGGTGTATTTAGGGGGGGGGCTGACACTTTTGAGTGAAATTAAATTGCCAACTGAATGTATATATATATATATATAAATGGATATTTTGACAACGATACGATATTTGCAAATGTGTGACAATTTGTCAAGAAACAAGGTAACGGTTTCTGTGATGATTCAATTATTTCGTATCTTTATTTTCTGATTTAATTTGAATCAAATTCTATATTTTTCAGGTATCTTTCCTTCGAAGGAAATGAGGATGGCATGTTCTGAAGAATGCAGTGAAGCGTGCAAGTAAGTCGTAGCGCTAATGATAATTAAAGATTTGTTTGAGTACAAAAGCATGTTTGTTCCACCCAATCACCACAATTTTTTATTTCTATATGAGCTTCTAAGTATGTATGATTTCTCANTGTGGTTGGGCGTCTCATTGGTGGCACTCTTCGACTTTCTGGAAACTCTGGCTTATTTGCTGAGCTATCCACTGCTGCGCTCTCCAAATACATCATTCTGTTGTATTACATACTGATTTATTAATTCACAACTTTCTCATAACATAATAGATTATAACACATGCAGTTGTATATAATAAAATATTCGTGATCACGCATTCCTTACCTTATTTTCGTTTTCTTTTTTCAAAGTTGACTCCTAAATACGTTTTTAAGTTGGTTGAAGCCCAACTCGCCATCCACAAATGATTTTTATTTACTTTCAATCCTTCAGTTAATTTTTTTTTCAAAGTTGACTCCTAAATATCTTTTTTAAGTTGGTTGAAGCTCAACTCGCCATCCACAAATGATTTTTATTTACTTTCATAAATATATATATATATATTTATGAATTTATGGATATATAATGGATATTTTGACAACGATACGATATTTGCAAATGTGTGACGATTTGTCAACAAACAAGGTAACGGTTTCTGCGATGATTCAATTATTTCGTATCTTTATTTTCTGATTTAATTTGAATCAAATTCTATATTTTTCAGGTATCTTTCCTTCGAAAGAATTGAGGATGGCATGTTCTGAAGAATGCAGTGAAGCGTGCAAGTAAGTCGTACCACTAATGATAATTAAAGATTTGTTTGAGTACAAAGCATGTTTGTTCCACCCAATCACCACAATTTTTTATTTCTATATGAGCTTCTAAGTATGTATGATTTCTCAAATATGAGTGTTTTTACTTCATATATAAATATATATATGTAAAAGAAGTTTCTTTGTCTTCTTTCAGAGATTCAAGTTACACTTTGAGAGTTGAAGTAGCAAAAGACCTGTCAGTGAAAGTAAGTGTCTTACATTCTATTTTCTTTTGTTAACGGCGAGATTTTGTTTTTAAATTTTTATATCATGATTCACGAAGCGTAAAATATGTATCCAAAAAATAAATTCTCATCACATTAATCGACAATTTTTCTTCTTCTTTTTATTAGTGTGGAGAAAAAGACTTGAACTGCAAGTACGTTATTTTATTTTTAAGACACAGGAAGGAAAAAAAAAGTATTTTGAATTTACAGCAAATTCATCGAGAAAATAGTTATTAACTATGAGTAATCTATTATTTCATTTTAGGTATGAGAAAATCCTTATTCATCTTATATTCAACAGGTTTCAGGTCACTGAATTTGTCAACCAACCGAGATTTGAGGTGAGTGTTTGAACTGGATCAATTTAGCATTAGAAAAAGTAATAAGAGATTCCACCAGGGAAAATATTTTTAATAAATCTGTACAAATGATGGCCTTTGCTGATGACGTAAACATTATTTCTAGAACACCTATAGCAATAAGACAGGCTTTTATTTCTTTAGAGAAAGCGGCTGTCAAGATGGGCCTGAGAATAAACTAGAACAACTAAATATTTACCCTGTACTAAAACAAGCTTCAATAACACTCACTTTGAAATAGAAGAATATAAATTTGAGGTTGTTGACAATTTTGTTTACTTGGGTTCTGTAATCAACAACCGTAACAATGTTACAATGAAGGCCGGGAAAGTTTGGTCGGTAGGGCGCTGGGCCCATGTTCGTGGGTTCGAACCCCGCCGGTCGAAGACTCCCCGTGTAATAAAGTGACTGATGTGCGTTAAATCTGTCGAGTCGCAAAAGTCCTCCATATTCCCATAACAAATCAGACCTCTGGGGGTACTGGATTGAAGATCGATCTTTCTCTGATTCAGGTCAAAATTACGATCTGTGGCTGCATGAATGGGTCCGCCCTATAAACGTGTGCGACGTATGGTGTGGCAGAAGTCGAATTCTTGGCCATAGATGTCACCACTGAAAAAAAAACTTACACTCTGCCTTAAATTTGCTCGGTTTTACCAAGCAGGCTTGCCCATGTGGCAAGTAGCATTAGAAACAACAACAACATATTGCAATGGAAATGCAAAGGAGAATCACTGTAATCAATAGATGCTTTAATGGAATTCGAAAATAAGTAAAATCTAATGTAATTCCTCAAAAAAAAAGTTTTATTATATCTCCTAAGTTTTATTACATTTATATCCCTTTTAAGATCAATTTTAACATATGGTTGTGAAACCTGGACCCTATCTTGTACGGATGAGGTTATGTTGGGTACCTTTGAGAGAAATATCTTGAGAAGTATTTTTTGGAGGAATTAAAAAAAATGGTGTGTGACTTAGAAGAACAATTTTAGAGCTTTATCACTCATATAATGAACCTAACATTATTAACTTCATTAAACGACAAAGAACGGCAGGCCACGTTATCAGAATGGATGAAGACCGTATCACACAAAGAGTTTTCAATGTCAGACCAGTTGGCACACGTAAAAGAGGAATCACGTGCAGCGAGAATGGCCTTTTAAGATAACACAGGCTCAGTAGGGCAATCCCTTGAAAGATTTAAGCAAATGTTTAATTTTGTAATTGTATGTGAGATTATTTTGTAATCACAATAAAATACTTATATTTCAGAGCATAGAGCTGTTTAGTTACATAGGTGGATACATGGGAATGTGGTTGGGCGTCTCATTGGTGGCACTCTTCGACTTTCTGGAAACTCTGGCTTATTTGCTGAGCTATCCACTGCTGCGCTCTCCAAATACATCATTCTGTTGTATTACATACTGATTTATTAATTCACAACTTTCTCATAACATAATAGATTATAACACATGCAGTTGTATATAATAAAATATTCGTGATCACGCATTCCTTACCTTATTTTCGTTTTCTTTTTTTAACCCCTTCCTTTTCGCTCCCGTGAAAATGACGGGGTGAGGTTTCGCCCTCTATTTCTCGCTCCCGTGATATTGACGGGCTGGAGTGTTCAGTAGTAACGCGCCAATAAGAATAAAATCAACCGATCGTTAAAGGGTTAAAGTGAACGTTCAATGTTTTTAGTCCGGAATAGACATTTTAACGAACATATCTAAAGTAAGTGCACAGTAGTTTCCTATTAATTCTTAACTGTTGCAGCTTGCTGCTGATTGTTAAGACAAGATTCCAACAGATCATCGAAATCAAGCATCACTGGCTGCTATCAGTGTGCGGATGTGTGGATTAGTCTACGAAAGGTCCGAGAATGTGCGGTATCGGTCCTTGTTATACTGTTCTACCGGAAAGTGGTCGAATTGGAGCTCAGGTCGTCTGGCTACGGGGGGAGCCATCCCCTCTGCAGAGGATCAAAATGGTGATAGTATGTCCTAGGATTAACCTCAGGAATGTAGTCAATAGTCCATTATGCAGCTCTAGTGCGACGTAAATTAAAAACAATTACGCTGCAGCTGCAATAGAAGTGATGTAGTAAAGGAACATTTACACTCATAAGCGTAGCGGGAAGAAAAAAATTTGGGGGGGGGGGGNAAAAAAATTTGGGGGGGGGGGGGTGCAAGAATTTATCTTTAGAATCTGAAGAATATTTATAAAAAAAATAATCTTAAGAATATTTTTTTAAAAGAAGGTGATATTAATTGATCGCCTTTTGATTTCAGTAACATTTTTCTTTTTTAATGATAAATTTGCAGAAAAAAAGAAAAAAAAACTCTAAAAACGAAAGGAAATTTTTTATCGAAATTTTATTATGAGTTAAATAGTGAATCAGAAAATATAACAATTAGGCAAATGTTCATCACATCCTAATGTTATTTTCATTTAATGAAGGTAATATATACATTATATTATTACATTTATAATACCTACTCGAAGGAAATCACGGCGTTTCAAAACATACAAAATCAAATGGAAAAAAAACTAATCTAAATATATATTTATTGAACCTTTAGAACAAAACTATTTATTTCTGCAAAGTTCAATAACTACTAAAGATGTTTTATAACTTAATCGAAAGAAATAACTAAAATGACAGTCAATATGTGATCACAATTATTTATACTGAAACCAAAATGCATAAAATTCCCAAGCGTGTAACAATATGAACCGTTTGAATAAAGTATAAAGGGAGTTATTTCAGTTTACATTCGAAGAAAATTGTAAGATTTTAAACGAGCTACAAAAGCTAATTTTGCTAATATTAAACACTGCCCTTTACATACATTTGCCCTTAACATACATTTAACATACATTTGCCCTTAACATACATTTGCCCTTAACACTAAACTTACCAACACTTAATATATATCCATTTCAACCACAGCTAATCTAATGAACGGACTTTATGTTTCTTGATTGAATGTATGAAATATGGATGTTAGGAAGGAAATAAACTTAAAAAAACTTTATTATAATTAAATAAAATTTTATATTGCCAATTTTTATTGTATTACAAACGCAAAGAATAGGAATTTTTAATTTTTTGCTCAACGCATTTTTTACATATACAGGCTGTTTCCATTGTGCATTTTCCGCAAACATATTTCTTCTAATTATTATTATTTCTATAATTCTTATAATTAATCTTATTTCTTCTAAGAAATTGTGCTGTCTTGATTGTTTCGACATTTTTCTGGGTAAAAACTAACAGTTACTTAGAAATGAAGTAAAGCTAACAAAATGAAATATAAGCTACTTACCAAAACATTTAGTTTTTGTCACTTTTTCTGACACAAAAATGCCAATTTAGGTACTTTCTTGAAATTTGAATTCACAGTTATTGTGATTGAATTAACTACGCAACAGTCTTTACAGAAATGTGCATCTGATCAAATGCAATACGCTGAACACGCATTGCATCGTCATTTCTGATCCGATAACCTTATAAAGCAATAAAGTGCTCTCCCGGTCAAATTATCAGGTGTGGTAGAAATAGGCATACGACAAGAATTATTCTAAACAAACAAAATACACAAAAAATAATAATAATAGAATATTAACCGTATATAATGCAGACCGGCCTGTGTAGGGGGCAGGGAACTGTCCTTGCATCAGAAAGGTCCTGGGTTCGAGTCCCGGGCAAGGCATGGATGTTTCTTTCTCTCTCTGTGTGTGTTCTATGTTCTTTCTCCTTTGTGTGTGAATGTGACCCGCCCTATAACAACACCTCCTAGACGAACGAAGGCCTCAGTACGGATCAATTTAGTAGTCCGACGTGACGAACATAAACTGCGCAGTCGATGAAAAAGAAGAAATATGTCACTACGTTTGGGCTACTAAGTTGCGCAGTGGTGGAAAATACGAAAGATGCCATTATGTTTGGACTACTAAAGGATCAAATTTCTTATTTATGGTAACCCGTGCTAAGGCTTTCTCTTTTATAGGAGGGCCTTCCCGTTTTCCTTCTTCTCGTTTTCCTATAAACGGGTTGTGGTTGTGTGAATAGCGTGGCAGAAGTCAAATTCCTGGCCATAGATGGCGCCACTGAAAAACAGGAATAATCGCACACCCACTGCCTAAACAAGCATACGACAAAAAAAAAACTGTATATAATTGTTAGAAAAAGTCACGAAGTCAAATGCGCAAAAACGATAAAATGATAAGCGCATTTTCGATGCAAAAGTTCTTAAACGGTCATTTGACCTGTTATGGTATGTTTAGTGTTAACTGTCCTAGTCAGGTACATTTAAAATTACAAAAATATGATTTTGATACATACGATAAGGTCAGGGATATTTCCCTCGTTCCTTTTCCCAGTTATTCAAGAGAGCAAATATATAATATGCGCTCATAATTTCAATAAGCACCTTTTCGAATTTTTACTCAAAAAGTAAATAGTTCACTTGAGATACCTCAAATAAGAATGAGAAATTAATTTTTTTTACACCTTTGTTGACAGATTTAAAAGATTTTTTGTCAACAATGTTTTAAAGTTTTAATACTCATTGTTCAAACAATGGCATAAATCTAGTTTTTTATGTATTTCTATAATAGTTTATTCAACTTAAGTATTGTTGTAAATGTTTTTAGATTATGTTAAATTGTATAGTACGAAAAACAATAATAATAATTGAAATATTTCAAAATAAATTTATTTTTTACACAATATGTTTCATTTTAAATCATTAAGATTGAGGCCTAAAATCTGAAGATCCGATCATATGATCAAAATTTATTCCGGTTGGTCCATTTTTGAATTTTGCGCGCTTTGCAAAAAACTAATTGACTCGAATTTTTTACCTTTGGCTGTTTAACATGAACACCTAACGGGGGTAGGGGGTATGTGATTTGCTCATTTTTGCCTCCAAGAGTTTTATAGGTCAAAAGTTTTGAACACAAAAGATTGCGAAATGAAAATTTAAATATATATTTTTTCTTCTTTTTTTTGAGATTTTATACGATTTACAACTTTACAAATTCCGTAGGAGCATACGGCTTTTTTTTTTCATATTTTTGAGAGTCAAGAATCCAAATCCGTTAAAAAAATGGATGTTTATTCAGAGAATGTGCGTTTTTTTTACAAATAATAATAAGCCCTAATCAATGAGTAATAAATAGTAAGCACTAGCTAATTAACATATTTTAAATCAAACCTTTTAACCATAAAAATTGGCATTTAATTCATGAAAATTCGATCCAAAAGTTATTTTAGGAGGTAATTTTTTTTTCCTGCTCACAGTACTTCTTTTGAAAATTTGAATTTTTTGCCATTAGGTTATTTTTCTCATTATGAGCTTTCAGAAATGCAAGGAAAATTTTTGTAACGTTATTTGTTTCCAAACTAAAACCTTTTAGAACTAGCTTATAGCACAGCCAATTTTTCATTTCACCAATTTAATTCATTTGTTATCAGAAAACTAAATATATCCCGAAAGCAGTCGTAATTCGGGTCCAAAAAATAAATGAAATTAAAAAAATTCGATCATTGATTAAATTTGTTTTGTAATGCACTTTTAAAAAGAGCCATCAATTTTTCAGACGTCGAAGACCCATGTTTATTTTAACATTATGAGAATTACACGTAAAAAAATTTAAGAAAACAAACATAATAAGTTCATTTTCATTTTGTTTATTTTCGTAAACACTAACACAAACTCAGTATGATATCAATATGATATAGTTTTATTCAAACTCATACATGGCAATATAAATAACATAAAAATCGACTGAAATTTCAGACATACAACTTAGTAACTGCGCAAATGCATTTATTGTATGAATTGATTAAAAAATATACTTTTTTTGTGTGTTACAAAACAACAAAACAAATTTTTTAAAAAAACAGTACATGGCACATAAAAATCTTATATATATATATATGTATATATATATAATTTTTTTTTTTAAATCTTAATCCTTAGGTGATACTACACAGCTTTATTTTTTTACTCGACTGAATTAAGTGCTCGCACTTGTTTACTTTTGTGTATCAATTGGTTACCAAAAACAACGTTAACGTAAATAAACGTTACAAATAGGAATTACATAAAAAATCTCCTGAATGAAAACCTATTACATGCATGTTTAAATATAAATATTTTGCATATAAACTCGTGCAAAACATGCAATTATTTAAAAACTACAGTGCGTCTAATAGTTTAGTCTAATTATTATAATATATTAATATAATACCCGATATAATAAATATTCTATATTTATATAATATATCGTCTAATTTAACCAATTGATTCACGAAAGTAAACAAGTACAAACCGGTTTCAGTCGCGTTTTAATTAATAGTACATTATATAATTAATAGTACATCTAGTTGTTGTTCGTCATCAATTGAAAATGCACTTATCAAAACTAACCGATGGTGTGACGATGGCGATAGTGTAGCACTTGTATGTTAAACAAATTTTTTAATTAGCTTAATTTTAATTTATTATTCTACCAAGTTTCTGGTCAACCAGTCCAAAAATTCTGTCACTCTTGTATATACGCCGGGATATCCAGGTTGACCACAAAGTTTCCCAAATGAAACGACACCAACCAGGTAATAGTTTCCATCTTTACCGACAGACATCAGTGGTCCTCCTGAGTCACCCTGATTAGAAAAGTTAAATTCCGATCAACATGAATTGTAACGCAACATAAATAAGTGGTAACACAATAATTTCGAACATAAATGCTTTGTAGTATAATTGTTTCAAACAAAAAAAAATTTTTTTTTAACTTTAATTCGAAGTAATACGAGGGTTGCTATTTATATTTCTGGCCTTGGCAACAGTAAGTGTTGCTAGGCGACCGCAGACGATTTTAATCGAAAGTTTGATATTTTTAAACATAAATCCAGCAGACGATTTACCATTATAGCTTCATTTGTGTTGTTGACAGTAAATTGAAAAGTTCTTCTCTTTCAAAAAATGGAATTGAATCGTGAACATTTTCGTGCCATTATTTTTCCCAACTTTCGACGTGGATTGTCAAGACAAGAGTGCTTCGATGAACTTAATTCTTTATTCAGCGATAAAGCGCCATCCTATAGCACTGTAAAAAACTGGTATAACGAATTTAATCGTGGTCGATGTTCGATCCAGTACGAATCCCGTGCAGGTCGTCCAAAATCCGTTGTTGTGCCAGAAAAGATCGATGCTGTGCGTGAACTGATAAAGCAAGATCGTCATGTGACATACCGTGAGATAGAGGCGTCTTTGGACATTAGTATGACTAGCATCAATAAAATATTGCATGAACATTTGAGCGTAAAAAAAATTTGTTCGCGTTGGATCCCGCATAATCTGACAAACGCTCAAAAAAAGGCTCGTGTCGATTGGTGCAAGGAAATGTTGGAAAAATACGTTCAAGGTACATCAAAGGCTGTGTATAACATCTACACAGGTGACGAATCATGGATCTATGCATATGAGCCGGAAACAAAACAGCAATCAACTGTATGGGTCTTCCAAGACGAGGCAAAACCAACAAAAGTTGTTCGAGGAAGAAGCACATCGAAACAAATGATTGCCTGTTTCTTCGGCATTAACGGTCATGTGGCAACAGTGGCGTTAGAGCAACGCAGGACGGTCAATTCTGAATGGTACACGACCATTTGTTTGCCAGAAGTCATCGGAGAAATTCGAAAAAAGCAGAAGAACAGGCGAATCATTCTTCATCATGACAATGCGAGCTCTCACACATCGACTCAAACAAAGGCATTTCTGACGGAGCGAAAGATCGAACTGATGGGTCATCCGCCGTACAGCCCTGATTTGGCACCCAATGACTTCTTCTTATTCCCACACATCAAAAATAAATTACGTGGACAACGATTTTCGACCCCCGAAGAAGCGGTTGATGCATTCAAAACGCATGTTTTGGAGTTACCTCAATCGGACTGGAAAAAGTGCTTTGAAAATTGGTTCAAACGCATCAAAAGTGTATTGATCATCATGGAGAATAGTTTGAAAAACAATAAAACCAATTTCGATCCTACATATTTGTTTTTTCATTATTAGGCCAGAAATATAAATAGCAACCCTCGTATAATAATTTCAAATATTAATGAGTAATAGCATAACAATTTCATAAATAAACAAGTAGTAACACAATAATTTTAAAGGTAAAAGTTTAAAAATCTGTTAAATAATAATATATGAAAGTTTGAAACATGTATCAAAAGAGCTTATCAGTAAAAAAAAAGATTCTTCGACTTTTGAAAGTACTTCGGATTTTGATAATATATTTTAATCACCGGTAAATATAGCACATTGTTTTGCTAAGTTTATAAAACAAAACAACCAGACGTGCTTTAAAATTTAGACTAACGGAACACGATAGGTATGCCCATTACGAAGAATGCGATAAATCATATATTGCTGCACATTTTAAAATATTAAGGCACTTATTCAATTTCAATAATGCCAAAGACATTTCGTCCCTGTCACATCAGCTCATCTTGATGCCCTGGAATCTTGTTTCATTCTTAGGAGGGCTGAATCCCTTGTTAATGATATGTATTCCCCACTACCTCTCCATTGCATCAAGAAATGCATTTTGACCTGATTTACCTCTTGAGGCTTCTGCAGTTTTTTAAATTTTGTTTTTTTCTCCGTTAATTTTTTTCATTTTTTGTTTCACTCTTGGCCACCGCAGCTATTACAGTTTTGATTCTCACCTTTATTGATAACTTTACGTTTTCTGTTTCAAATAGTCCCGCAGTGGACTGATAATAACCACATGATTCTCAGAAGAACACTGAAGTCAAACATCACTGGCTGTGGTCAGTAAGCATGAGAATGACCAGTTTGATCAACCTGAGTAGGGACCTTACGTACAAGGTATCGGTCCTCGTTAAAATTTTCTATCGAAAAGTGCTCGACTTCACGCACGGGTCGTCGAGATGCCAAAGTAGGGGAGCCATCCCCTCTGCAGAGGATCAAAATTGCGATCGCATGTCATGGGATCATCCTTAGGGATGTTTTCCAGACCGTCGCCTATAGCCTATTGCGCAGCTCTAGTGCGACGCAAATAAAGTACCTACCAACCTGTTTCAAATATTTTTGTTTTCCTCATTCAACTCAGGTGAGTCTTGAGAATGGGTGCCAAATTATTAGCCCTCGAAACACGTCTGCTTTCATTTCTATCTTCCTAATTTTTTTTAGGCAAATGAAGTTTTAACTTATCAATTTAACGGCGCTTATTTTCCGTACGCACCTTGTAGTATTCCAAATTTAATTTTTAAACTTTAAAAATAATGCATAATATAATGCAACTCTTTAAAGATAATAAGTAATTTAAAAGGGTTTAACTTTAAGCGTAATAAGCAACTCTAAGCGTAATACGTGGTTCTGCAAATCTTTCTTTTGGGCAGTCAATTACCTGACATGAGTCTTTTTCTCCTGTATCAACACCTGCGCACATGTAGACCGAAGTGATGTTAACTTCCCTTTCATAGGCTTTTTTACAAACTTCCTGACTTTGAATATCGAAGGTGGCCTGCATCAAAACATCACTTGATGGACCATCTGAGGAAAATAAGAACTAAGTTTAGAATATGGAATCTATGTAATGAATTTCAAAAATAGTAACAAAATCCACACAACAGTTAAAAATATATCTTTGAATGATTGGGTCAGTTCCGCGACTCGGAGTTTATAAAGTCCGTTCCAAATTTTTTCAACTTTTGAGAAGTTTATCGCTTAACGGATGATCTTTCGATTGATCAAAATCCTAGTATTTACATGTCCCGCAGTGAACTTATAATAAAGATAAGGTTCCCAGTAGAACACCGAAGTCAAGCATCTCTGACTGCGGTCAGTAAGCGGGTGGTGGATCACTTTGATCAGCCTAGGGACCGAGGGTGGATGGTATCGGTTCTCGTTAAACTGTTCTACCGTATAGTGCTCGTCGTCATGTGCTGGACTACCAAAGCAGGAGAACCATCCCTTCCGTAGAGGATCAAAATTGTGATGGCATGTCTTCAGATTATCCTCAAGTATGTCTTCCAGACAGTCGCCAGTAGCCTATAGTGCAGCTCTAGTGCAAAGTAAATGAGCAACCTACCTGTCTAGAGCCCCTGAATTAGACAGGCCGATTTATCATTTATTTTTCGAGCAAAGAGCTAACATAAGCACATAACATAACGTTAACTTGCGAACTTGTTTGCTCCAATATTGCTTGATAGGTCAGCTCTGATAGTATAAGAGCCTTATACCTACCTAGTTTTCATGTGACGTCATTATTCATTTAATAATAATTATTTATCAACATTTTAAATATATCTATAAGAAAATTATACAGAAATAAATAAATTAAAATGTTACTATTCATGATTTTTACAAACCTAGGGAACATTCCTACTGAATGTGGTTTGATCGTTCTACTTAAAATGCACCAATCAAATTCACAATTTCTATACGTAAATTTCATATTATCATTTTGATGAAAAAGTGACGAAAAATACTGTTGGTGCAACGCTAAAAAAATATTTTGCATTAAAATCAAAAGCTTATTTTCAATACGTATGAATTCTACACAAAATCATTTATTTATAACAAAAAGAGAAAGAAGGAATAACTTCACTCGTGTTTAAGATGAAATCAAACCGATTAAACTTGTCAGTTTTTTTTTCGAACGGCATCCTTAAAACAACTTGAAGCGTGCTCCAAAAGCTCCGTGTCGAAAAACAGACCCATTATAAAATAAAACAAAATATAGTTTTAGGAACCACGTTTTTTAAGTATACTAAAAAGTAAAGAATAAATCTAAATTTTATCCACATTTGAAACGAAATATAAAGGGAAATTATGGATCTGTTGTTGTTTATTGCTTATCGCTAGTGATCAGCAAATACAACAAGTCCATAACAAAGTTCACTCTAGGGAAAGCAAAGGACTAGCAAAGGATGGTTCAAAAGGCCTCAAAAAGACAGTCCTAAGCAGTCAAGATTGAGCTCAGGTGACGCTTGTACGAAAGAGCACTCGAAACACTTACAAGGGAGACTAGGGAAGTGTGACTCACCAATTTTGAAATAAACTAGTGGGATGTATGCCTTATAAGGAATAATTTTAAGGGGCAACATTCGTTTCGGCCCATAGAAGATCCTATGAAAGATAAAAAAATAATTCAATATATAGAAAGATCGGTATTTTATTACTTCAATGCAGATTATTAGTTATTGTAATTATCTCATACTCCAATTAATTTTGTGGTACTTTCACGTACTATATAATGCATATTTATTGTCAAAATTGATTTCGAAAATTTTATGTATCTGTAGTTTTTCAGAAAAACCTGTTAGATTAATTTAAAAAAAATTGGCATCAAATTTTGCAAAAAATTTTTTTCAAAACATTTTCTAAATTAATTGGAGTATGCAATTGCAAATTAATTAACCAATGATTAATTAATTAGCAAATTAAATGATTGACCAATTAATTGGAAATTAATTGGAGTATGAGATAATAACAATAACTAATAGTCTGCATTGAAGTAATAAAATACCGATTTTTTTATATATGGAATTATTTTTTATCGCTCATAGGACCTTCTATGGGCCGAAACGAATGCTGCCCCCTAACATAATTCCTCATAAGGCATACATCCCACTAGTTTATTTCAAAATTGGAGAGTCACACTTCCCCAGTTTCCCTTGTTAGTCATTTTATTATTTACGTCATATGTTTAATATGGCCATTCATGAGACGGGAAATGGTGGTCTAATCTAGCGCAATCAAAGCTCAAAGAGCCTCGAAATGAAAATGATGGATTTCGATAATTATAAAATATGTAAAACATTATATTACAAAAACAATTATTTAATTGTTCTTATAATTTAAAGTATGGATCTAGATATATTTGTCCTTACTTGGAGCTATTATAAAAATAAATAGATAAAAATGTGATCTAACCCATATAAGGTAGGTATGTAATTTATTTACGTCGCACAAGAGTTGCACAATGGGCTATTAGATACGGTCTGGGAAATATCCCTGATGATGATCCGAAGACATGCCATCGCAATTTTGATCCTCTGCAGAGGGGATGACTCCCCTGCTTTGGGAAGCCCGGCGACGTGCACGTGAAGTCGAGCACTTTATGGTAGAGCAGTTTTTAACCAGTACCGATACAGCGCTACCTCCGTCCCTACGCAGGCTGATCAGAGTGGTCACCCAAACGCTTACTGACTGCTGCCAGTGATGCTTGACTTCGGTGTTCTACTGGGAACCGTGTCCTTATGATCAGTCGAGACTCTAACCCATATAAATCCAGGGCTCAGGGCTGGTTTGACAGCACTATGACGAATAAATGTAACTTTATTATTTAGCAATGATGAGCTATTCTCACTCTTTACATAAAGTCAGATATATGGAATAAAAAAAATGTAATTTAAAAGGAAGAAAAAAGAAATATTAATGACCCACTTTGAAGTCACAAATAACACCCGATTGCATTCTTGGGGGCTGTTTTATATTTAGTTACATCTTGATGAAAATGACACAATTCCAAATGGTTACATGGGTTAATTTGACCACTGGCGCTGGTTAATTTGACCATAGGTTAATTTGACCATTAGCCCGCTTTTCCCGAAGAGTGGTTTGACTAAGAATTTACTTACTAAAAGCTGTTGTTCCAAATCCAATAACAGTTCCTTTTCTTCCAGTTAAGTCTTCGCCTCTGAGACTATCATAAGGCAAGCAAATGGGAGAGACACGTGAAGTGAAAGGAACAGCTCTATTCAATCTGATAACAGCTATGTCATTCCTGTACGTCCTGGGATCGAACCTTTCATGGCGACGGACACCATCCACGCCAACTTCAATGGCACTAGGATCATTGCTGGAAGCGACATTATGGGCACCAAGTCTAATGCTCAGTTGACGAGGACTCATCCTGTTAAATATATAATCTCAGAATTATATAGTCAAACTTCAAGGGTGTTCCGTAACAACTGATCTTATAGTACAGGATGCACATAAAATAAGGCGAGGTGCTTAAATCCCCTGTAACAAATGAAGTACAGGGCGGAATGGAGAAAAAATGGCGTTCTTAATCAGTTGAGAAAGTGATGTCAATTTCCAAAAAGTAACAACAATGATATATAATTAAAAAAAAGTCGCCGATATGAGAAAATTTAGCGCTTCAAGCGCTTCAAAAACTAAATGCATATTTTTCAACTGAAAAAAAAATTTTACTAAAAAACTCCAACATTTTCTATTAGTTACAAATGTACTCCACTATCACCACTATTTATGATCTTCCACTAATTGCATATTGAGTTTAGAGTGCTGAATTTCCTCCTACGGGCGATTTTTAGTATTATTAGTTTTTAGAAATAGCCGACCGGCCTGTGTAGTGATTAGGGAACTGCTCTTGCATCAGAACGGTTCTGGGTTCGAATCCCGGGCAAGGCATGGATGTTCTTTCCTTCTCTGTACTATCTGTCTTTACTGTGGGAGCAACGTTGGCCCACCTAATATGTAATATGGTTCCCCTGAAGGAGTAGCCAACAAATATGCCCTTCAGATGCCTGAATCAGATGGCGTAAGTCATTTCCCATGCGGGCATTGGAAAAAAAAATTTAGAAGTTGAAACCACATTTAATCAAGCTCATCATGTTCACTAAATTTATTTCTATCATGTCAGCATGCGCTATAATGCTTTAAACACCACACGTTACTTTTTGTGAACCCTAGTACAAATTTATGCTCTTCGTCGTCATGAAGTCATAGAACTTTGGTGTTGGAGTTACGGTCAACCTTAACGCTAAGCAAAATATCTCGATTATTTTTTTGGATATACCCTTTATCAAGGGTGGCTTTATATCTATTTGATTATTGCAGTTTAGGGTATTTAGTGACTACGGAACGCCGTATATTTATTAAAATTTGAATGCAGAAGTATTGAAGGGCAGGAGAATTAAAGGCGTCTCAATCTTCTGCGCATTTGTAGTAATTAATAAATGAATTCGATATTAGTTTTCTAATCTAAGTAAGTGGATATAAAATAAAATTATTGTCATTTGAAAATTAATTAAAATTAATGATGTTTGAAATCAATGCTATAATTTTAGATTTAGGGATATCGAGTTCGACCCTGGCAGACGGCAAAACAACTGCCACGTATATGAAGCAAAATGTATATTAGATCTCTCGAGGCTGCAAATCCTCTCGTTGGTCGTGGTGCTGAACTTTGGAGAGCACTATCCAAGTCACCCCCCTGGGATCAGAAATAAACGGCATTTCTACCATGGCTGTGTAAAAATAGGGCTAGGGCCTTGTTTGAGTAACGTGATTTGCTATATGATTAACATTTATTTTACTTTATAACCGTCATTAAACAGCTGACCCAATTTTTAGGTTTACGACTATTAATGTTCAACTACGTATCCTTGAAATTTTGAATCCAATTCAGAAGACAAGGGAACTCCTGGATCAAGTATCAGTAGAAATTTGCTTTCATGGAAGACTTTTTGATAGAACTAATCCGCATTTGCCTTACATGGAGAGGAGAACCACGAGAATTTCCCACGGTTAGCCTGGCGGCTAGGAAGAGGATTTTTACCCATAATCCGACTACCACTTAGGATATTTCATGTCAGCACTGTGGTCGCTGCAAGCCGGATGCAGAATTCATATCGATCAGCCATCTCTGGGATTCGAACCCGTGTCACCTCATTGGAAGGTGAGCACTCTATTCCCTGAGCCATTGCTGCTCATTAACATTTATTGAGCGAAATTAGGTTTCTGATATGTTTATATCATTAGAGTTAGCAATATCTGCAATCTAAGTTAGTATGAGAGTGCTAAAATTTGCCTTGTGAAATCCATCACTTTACTGAAAACAGAGTTAATTCCGAACCAGCAATGATAATAATATAAGTAATAATAACTCACGTAGTTGACGACCTGCCAGTGACGACGCAGTGAGCAGCTGTCACCACATGCCTGTTAGTGACAAGGGCACCTCCACAGTCAGGACTCATGACACCATTTCTTTTTTCTACAAACACAACTGCCTGGAGAAATGAACAAATTAGAGAATTTTGCCGCAAAATAACTAATTGCTTAACACAAATGAGATGTAGAGATTTAAATATGCTAACTGACTTGAACATAATCAGAAAAACTGCTTCAAGCGTTGAGCCATAATATCGTGAAAAATTCGCTTGCAACCTTATTAAGGGGCCAAGTTGAACCATGTTACCATTCAAATTGAACCATAACAACGAGTAATCATCTTTAAGAAGGTTTGAAAAAACGGTACTATGGTAGTAGCAAATTTGCACCATATTAAGGTTCAACACACTTCAATGTTTTTAACAGTGTAGATAAAAGATGAGATATGGAGAAAATGATAAGCTAAATGATATCCTTGCGTTATAGCCTTTGGAGAGCCCTGGCCTCCTTCAGGTTTTTGAATCATCCTATTCGATTGGTAGCCTCTTTCTTGTAGTTAGTAAAAGGATTTCAAGCCCTCTTCTGTCTGCTCTTTTTTTCTAGATTTAGGTTTTCTTCTAGATCTTTCCACTCCTGGCTTTCAACCTAATAATTTTTGAATACCTTTATCCGAGTGCATTTTTAGAATATGCCTAAACAAATGAATTTTTTTATTCCTATTCTTGATACAATGTTCAGTTTCTTATATTTAACTTACATCTCTTTATTTATTCAGATCCTCTAATGTTCATCCTTACAGCTCCGGTAGTCAGTTATGGCATCACTCACATAACTTTGCGAAAAGCTGGGGGTTGTGAGCTCGATCCTGGCAGCCAATGGAACAATCAGGGTGAATACGCATCAAGGTTTCACATCAAATCTGTCGAGACTGAAAGTTGTTGGTTGTGGTGTGGAAGTTTGGAGAGAGGGTTAACAACTCGGGCGCTGTCCACGTCATCTGCTCGGGATCAAAATTCCGTGACTTTCCGATCATGGCTGTTAAAAAATAGAGTCCTGAAATGGGTCAGTTGCTAAGCCATGGTTGGCTGATATGTGTCCATCTTTGTATATAGTGATGAAAATCTTCCGTAAAATTTTCCTTTTACATACTCTCGTAAGATCAGAATTTCTTTTAAGTGGGTTAAGAAGTAGGTTCACGCCATTTTTCAAACTTTTCTGAAAGTTTAAAGTGCGGGAATATTCTATTTTCCTACCAGTTCCGTTGTCGGAATTTTCGGGCAAAAGTTGGTAGATCTTCATCGAGAGACCAGAGCTGTATTTTGAGGTCGAAAATTTCATTTTTAAATCATGGGTGGTTCTTTCAGCCACGGTGCTCTCTCCATGCACCGCGCAAATGTCACGGTCAGCTTTTGTGGTCTTAAAACTTTCATTAAATGCAAAATTAAATGCATTGTAGGATGAAGTTTTCTCATTCGTTCAGCATTAGCATTGTTGACTATAGATCTGTTTTTCAGTGATGTCTGCTTGCTTTCAGCTTTCTTTGTTCGTTAAAAGGAGTTTTTTCCCCATTCTTTTATATTTAATTTTTTTTATTCGTTTTATCATTTAGGCCCAATGATCATCGTTGATGACATGCGAGGGTTATGTCACCGATTTTGCATTCCTTTAAAGTTATCTGAAATCACGAGTTTATTTCGGTTAGAATTTTTGTCGATTATAGTTTATAATTATGCTTCTGAAACGTATTTCCATAAACTAAAAAATTTAAAATAAATTGGTAATCGAAACAAAAAAAAATAATCTATGTACTAAAATGCAAAGCTAATGGAGAAAATATATTTATTTGTTTAGGGGTACATAAAAAATCCCTTTACTATTATTGATGCCGATGATGCTTAATTACCCTTGGCAACAGGTATTGCTGGTATCTGTTGCCAAGAATTATATGGTAATTGGTGCTATTTTAAGATATACCAAATAAAGTAAGGTACTTCGTAGGTAGGTACTTTGTTTACGTCTCAGTACAGCTGCCCAATGGGCTATTGGTGGGGGTCTGGGAAAAATCCCTGAGGATGATCCGAAGACATGCCTTTGCAATTTTGATTCTCTGCAGAGTGGAGTGCTTCCCTGCTTTGGTAGCCTGACGACCTGTACGCAAAATCAACCACTTTATATTCGAACAGTTTGACGAGGACTGATACTGCGAATCCTTGGTCTCTACGCAGGCAGATCAAAGTGGTCACCCATCCGATTACTGACAGCAACCAGTGATTTCACTTCTGTGTTCTACTGGGAACCGTGTCTTTAAGATCAGTCCACTGCGGGCTTCAACTGAATTAATGTAAGTACCAAGGTAACTATACTATAAGTAATATGGTACTAATTTTTTTACAAGTTCCCGAAAGGAATATGTGCTGGTGGAAATTGCTTGATTGTGATAAATTTTGTCTAGCAATGAGTTGGCCTCGAGCAATAGCATTTTTACTGAATGATTTTGGATACAGATAATCTTTGTTTTGATGAGATGAACTTTTAAAAATAAGTTTTTATTAATCTTATTACGTAAAACTACCGAAAGGGCAACAAGTAATATTAAATTTCAAAAAAATTATCATCAGTAATGCTTATATTTTAGCTTTACTAATTGTGTTTAAATGTCTTTCATTTTTGTGCATGAGTTAGTAATGTTGAGAAATACCGACTAATTCATCAATAATTTTTTTCACTTCGTCCGAAGAACTGGTCTATGCAGTAATAAAAATTTCCAAAGGAGTTGGTTCATTCTGCATCTATCTAAACTATCCATGTATTATCATTAAATTATAATAAATTATTAAATTTTATTCGCATCACTACCCCCAAATTATTTTGTGTATTTTTGAAGAAATGAATTCGAAAGATACGTGACTGTCTATAGATGCAATTAAGCTATTATGAATATGTCAATAACATAAACCAATGATATGAAATTCAGAAAAAATTCGTGTAGCTGTTTATAACATCAGATTCATCGATAATTCCGTCTGCTGATACATAAACTGATTCTAATAAATATGTTAGTAACGTAAACCAATGGTATGAAATGAAGGAAAAATTCATTCAAATGCTTATGACATCAGATTCACCAATGATTCCGTTTGCTGATATATAAACTGATTCCAATGAATATGTTAATAACGTAAAATAATGGTATGCAATGCAAAAAAAATTCCTTCATCTATTTATAACATCAGATTCACCGATAATTCCGTTTACTGATACATAAACTGCTTCCAATGAATATGCTAATAACGTAAACCAATGGTATGAAATAAAGAAAAAATTTGTTCAGCTGCTTATAACATCAGATTCACCGATAATTCCGTCTGCTGATACATAAACTGATTCCAATGAATATGTTAATAATGTAAACCAATGGTATGAAATAAAGAAAAAATTCGTTCAGCTGCTTATAACATCAGATTCACCGATAATTCCGTCTGCTGATACATAAACTGATTCCAATGAATATGTTAATAATGTAAACCAATTGTATGAAATAAAGAAAAAATTCGTTCAGCTGTTTATAACATCAGATTCACCAATAATTCCGTTTGCTGATACATAAACTGATTCCAATGAATATGTTAATAACCTAAACCAATGGTATGAAATAAAGAAAAAAAATTCGTTCAGCTGTTTATAACATCGGATTCACCGATAATTCCATTTCGGTGAATCCGATATTCACCGATAATACATAAACTGATTCCAATAAATATGTTAATTACGTAAACCAGTGGTACGCAATGCAGAAAAAATTCGTTCAGCTGTTTATAACATCAGATTCACCGATAATTCCGTTTACTGATACATAAACTGATTCCAAAGCCTTTGGTAATCAGGTAAATACAGAGATGCCAACTGCTCCGGTTTCGACAACATATTCTAAAAAGCGGTAGAAAACTACAAACTCAAATTTGCAGATTTTAGGCTAAAAATTAGAGTTCACAGTATTATTAACAGTTTCACAGCTTAGCTGGCGTAAGACATATGCCCATGAATTATTTAGAAACAGTGGTAAAGTAAAAATCCTATGAATCGAATTTACTAAACCAAGAAACATACATTAAAAACTACCACTCGAAAATATTTATCCGTTGTCCGGAGCAAGTGGGCATCTCTGTAAATAGATAATTTAAAAATCAGTTAATTCCGAATTCAGGAGTCAAATAAGTATTTTAACTTTTGTTTGCTTTCATCATCACCTCCAAATTATTACGTTTTTTTTAGATGAAATAAATTCGAAATAAGATGCATGACTAAGTAGAAGTGATAAATCTATTACGAATATGCTAATAATATAACAGTTAAACCAACGTTTTGAAACGTAGAGAAAACTCTTTCAGCTGTTAATGACACCAGATTCTTTTGATCTTCATCGTCAACTCCGTATACTGACATATGAACTGATTCCAAAGACTGAGGTCGCTCTGTAAACAGAGAATCAAAAAAACGTTCAAAACCGAATACAGGAAATTTAACACAAACTTTAAGTGCTTTTAACTTTTTAGCAAATCGAAGGAATGGAATGAGGTACTCTGATATGTCGCCGGCAGTGGACATCCAGACAACGTTGAAAGATACCAGGAAATCGTAACCATGGCAACAGCATATGTGTTGAAAAAGAGCGTTAATGTTTAGATTTGGGTTATTTAGAGGGTAACGCCGTTTTTCCAAAGTGATTTCTAAGTGTTGAAGAGGTATGTAGTCAACCAGATAAGTTCTAAATTCATTCTGAATTGTAGCTCGATAAATGAGACTCATGTTCACTTTTAATTGTGGGCACATTTCTTGCATGCGCTTATATATCAATGGTGATATACCATTAATACGAGCTGGAGAAGTACCCTCGCATATTATGTCAATTAATGAAAGGTTCCTAATAGAGCGAAATTGGTTATTGTTTAGATCAAATAGTAGTTCCATACTTTCTTCAAAAAATAGAGAATAATCCACTTTTATAGTTGTTAAGTTCGTAAAGTCTGGAATTGGCGGCACACGAGGCGCCATATAGACTTTTTCGTGCCAATCTCTTACGAATCCTGTGAGAACTATCATCCGTAATGTTCTCATATTATTCTCAAAAACTGCTGAAAGTATTTTAACGGCTCTTTCTTTTCTATAAAAAGTATTGTAGAATTCAACAGTATTCAGTGAGTGCTGAGTCCTAATAAAGCTCACCGTCGCGTTAACCAAATTTGAAAAATCACTTTCGCTCAGAAATTGATGAAGTCTATGAGTGTTTTTGAATCTGAGAGAAACGAGTTGACATTTTGATTCGGTTAAAGCTTCTAAAAACAGTTGCAGTTGCTCTTTGGACTTGTCGATTTTCGATCTGAGAAACCTGTCTAGTGCGCTGCTGTTACCTACAATTTCGACGTGCCTAAACATGCATCCAAATTTTCGAGCAATTTCAATCTCAGGGAAGGTTACAGTTTTTGCTGCAGAAACTGATGCATTGTGAAATAAATTGTAAGTCATTTTCTTCCACACTCTTGGAGATCCATACTCATTAGACCAGTTTTTACAGACTAAGGACATGTTCAATCGGTCAGTTACATTCGAATAGGCATAAATAAGTTCCAAAACTGGAGGTGGAAGTTCAGACCAATTTTCAGAACTCCTATGGAAACATTTTGAATTTGGCATTATTGTGTTTTATAAACGCATCCGGATTTTCTTTCTGATAGCTTTGTGTTGCAAAAGACATTTTTAATCAAGACAATTTTATTCATTTTTTATCAAGACAATTTTAATCGAGAGGAAATTTAAATTTCGAATTCATGTTCAAACGAAAAAATTCTATAATTTAACACACACAGCCATAATTTTAATTTCCTACCTAATGTTGATATAAGTTTGATTGAAGCACTTTTTGTTCAGGTACAATGCATTTTTATTTAACAACATGCTTAGGCGAATCAAAAATTATATGAAATCCTAGTTACAAAGGATATACCCTTTGTTTTATTCATTTACTATTATTTCTGTACAGTGCACAGAATAAAAAGTTGAACAATTGAATAACTTTTAATCTAATGATCAGATTTTCATTCTCTGAAGTAGAATTATAATTATTTTGAGGGATAATACAGGCATTATTTAAGCTACGGGATAAGACTCTAGAAAATTTTTTTTTATGGCTACGGAATCGAAATCCAGGAGCTTGATACTCGATTCCGCTAAGACCCACCGAAGAACATGTAAAATGTAGATGCTCGTAAATTCTATAGATTCAAAAGTCCTGTGGTCTATTACTGAGCAGTACCACAGGCACAGGGATGTAAGATTCTTTTCCTTTCAGACCTCTGTCTAAATTGAAGAAGTGGCTTCTCGAATGAGTGGTGCTGCCATCTATCTGCGATTTTTCAGAGCTAAGACGTACTTTTACCCTTGTGGTGCTCTCTTGTCAAACCTTTCTGACCTAATTCACAAAATGGCTTATGGTTGAGGAGTTTGGGTTGTCCAAGTGTCATTAGAATCAACAAAATATGTTGGGGATATAAGTTTAGTCCGAAGAACGGCCAAAACATTAATTAGCGGTTCTTAATATTCATTTTTGCTTCGGCATATTTCATCAAATCTCTGGAACTATTCAAGGGATTGAAACAATTTTTGAGCACAATTATTAAATTTGTTAATCTAAAGATAATTATTTTCAAAATATATAATTAATAGCTATTTATTATTGTATATTTTAATAATAATCCAAAAATGTTTGAATTATTGTTTGAAGACCCAAATTTTTACATTACTTTAAACCATGTAATCGTAATTGACAAATTCCAAAATTTGTACGGGATTTAACAAACAGTTTTCGAAAAATAAACAACGACTTTTGAACTATTTCTTTTTTAAGTAATCAAATGAGAGCAATTTAACTAATTTTACAGTGACTTGTTACTGTTGCTAATCTCATGATAAAAAAAACTGAATTAGGGAAAAATGCTTTACAATAATATTTCCGTATAGTTTTGAAGAAATGATATGCAGCCTAGAATCAAAAACCTAATATGGATAAAACAGCTTTACGTACCATCCAAGGCCAACTACCAGGATCTGCCTCTCTTCCACCAACAACTCTAGTATCAGTAGCATTAGATATACCACAACCTGAAATTTAGAATAGATTTAATATTTTACGAAAAGCATTGAATATACCACAACCTGAAATTTAGAATAGATTTAATACTTCACGAAAAGCATTGAATATACCACAACCTGAAATTTATAACCAAGAAAATATCTTGAAATATAAATTTGATATACATGATATTTGATATACATGAAATGAAATATAAATGTTGTATTTGTTGTGACAGAACATCATATGGTTTTTGAACTTCTAACCCATAGATTACTACAAAGAATTTTAATTTATAACCTAGAAAATATCTTACAGTTTGTAAATCCATACAAATATAATATATTTGTAAGCAATAAAATATCATATATTAGAGGAACCGAAAAGTAATGTCGTTTCGGTGCGTTTGATATTGTTATCAAGATTTTATTTTTAATCAATAATGTATTCACCCTCATAAGCAACAGCCTTTCAATGCCGATCGAAAATGAATCGAAATGGATCGAAAAATNAATGCTCCGAAACGACATTACTTTCCGGTCCCCTAATAGATTTTAAATATGTAATCTATAGAATATCAAATCGATTTTAAATTTTCAACTTACGAGCAGGTAAGAAACTTGGTTTTAGTAAGTTTTCAGGGGGTGGTCTCCTTGTGGTAGTAGTAGTAGTAGTGACTGTGGGTCTCCTAGTGGAGATTCTTCTTCTCGTAGGGGTAGGTGTTCTTCTAGTAGTTGTTCGTCTTGTGGGTGGTATACGGGGTTCACCTGTATCTACACCCTCTTCTATAGCACAACATACTCTTGGTTCGCTGCCTTCAAACCCACAGATAAAAGGTTGCAATCGGTTGTAGTTGGAAATTCTCCTAAGAGATGGGCACCCTGTCAACCTCATACAGGTACCACGATTTCTAATTGGATCTATACAATCATATTTAGCTGTAAATCTGTTTGTTCTGTCATCATCTTCGAAAATTACTGAAATTAAAAAAAAGGATTATTTATAAATTTTAGCAAATAATTTCCTCAATGCTTTTTAATCAAAAATTTTATACGAAGTTTTCTGTAAATACCATTCTAAAAGCATATTTTAGGGATTCTTGTCATAAATGCAGTAAAAAAAAACATTGGGATTGCAATTTAATATTTAAGCGAGGAAAACAAAACGCTATTGATATCTAACAAATCACTACTGTGATAGGCGGGACTAGGAAACCAAGATAAATTTCATTGCTGGATGAAATATAAAAATAGTCGAAAGGCAGTTATTATAAACACTCTCAAGTTTCCTCAGGCAATCAAATTGGTTTTCGATGCTTCCCTCTCTACTGCCGTGCAATTGAAAAAAGAATGTTTCACAATAGATTTCTACAAAAGTGACTTGACAACTATTTTCTTTCTATTACTAACGCTATCAACGTTAGAATAAAATTTCAGAAATCATTAATTAATTTTTGAATATTTTTTTTCTTCACAATACGTAGTTTACTATACCAAAATGCCAAATACTTAAAAATCTTAATTTCGAATTTTTCTATTGCACGGCAGACTAGCGGTTCGATAAATTTCGATAGCGTTTTGTTTCTTTCTGGCCTAAATATTAAATGACATCCCCTAATGGTTAGTCTTATTTCACACAATTCTTAAATAGGATTCTTAAAGTATATATCAAAGGCAGCGATTACAGATCATCCTCTATAATATGATCTTGAGTAAATTCTTGAGATTTCTTCATTGATAATGACAGATGATACCATATATTTCAAAATCAGACATAATTATTATGTGTCTGAATAATAATTTTAAGGTCGATACACTCAACCATTATTTATTTTAAATTTTTCGTACAAAAAAAAGCAGAAAATTTTTTTTTTAATTTTTTTTATAATTTTTTGGAAAGTAGTATTGAAGGCAGTGAATCAAATTTAACCATCGCAATCATAAGTCTAGTTATGAGCGTCGTATAAAGTTTCTTCTTAATATTTATAACTTCGAATCAGTCATGGATATTAGTTAAGACACAGCCATAAAAAGCAATATCATAAATATTTACTTCGCTCGGTAATGGTTGCTAGGCAACTAATAACAAGAAGTATTGAGGAACAGTGAGTGTTTTATATAGTGTAGAATGGCATTGTGATTGGTTCGATAGCAGATGAAATCAGAACTGCAATGGCTCTGTGGATAGAGCGTCCGCCTTCCAATGAGATGCCGGGTTCGAATCCCAGCGATAACTGGTCGATACAAAGTCCGCAACCGGCTTGCACAGACCACAGTGCTGACGGGAAATATCCATAGTGGTAGACGGATCATTGGTTTGAATCCCCTTTGCCGCCAGGCTAACCGCGGGAGGTTCTCGTGATCTTCCTCTCCATGTAATGCAAATGCTGGTTAGTTTCATCTAAAAGTCCTCCACGAAAGAAAATTTCTCCCAATACTTGATCCAGGAGTTCCCTTGTCTTCTGGATTGGGTTCAAAACTAAAACGCTACGGAGTTGAATGTTAGTAGTCGTAAATCCAAATTTGAGTCGGCTGTTGTACGACGGTTATAAAATAAAAAATAAAATAAAACTATGAATCGACAAAAGCGATTTTATTGGAATAACATATCTATAATTTTAATGAAAAGCAACTAATAAAAATTAAAAGTGAACTAATGAAAAATAAACTTTTATAGTACAGTTGAGGAAAAGTTGCTTCGTCTTTATTAATCGAAGACAGAGTAACTTTTTTTTCAACTGCATAATAATATTCCTTATTTAACAAACCTATACAAACATCACGTTGTTTACTAAATAATACAAAAATAATTGTTGTTGTTATTTGTAATCTTTTAAAGTATGACGCAGGTGCATAAGACCGTTAACTCTAAGAAAGTAAAAAGCAAGAAGGGGATTTGAATAAATTTATTTCTTGGTAAAGCCAAAACATTCTAGAATATGTTTGGCAGAAAACTCTGAATTGTGGCATTTTTTTGTAGATGGTGAAGATTGAAGTCGTGGAGAAGGGGAACAAAATTAAATAAATATAAAATCAGATTTTTGAAAATAAAACATGTGATAAAAGCAAGCTAAAAGATTGTAATAAAATGTAGAATCCATTTTAATAAAATCAGCATTTTAAGATGCATCGCAAAATATTTTCAAATGTACTTACTTTGTCTCTTTATCCTTTCACAGTTCAATACACTTGCAAAATATAATAGAATATAAACTTGTAAAAATGATTTTTCTAAAAGGCTTGTCATTGCAGCTTGCATAGAAAACCCTAAAAATTTAATAGAAACAAATTAATGAACTACGGAAATATTGTTGACACAAATTTTGGATGCACAATGAAAATTAATCAACATTGATTAAAAATAAATTATAAAATAATTCTAAACAAATTGTACAAACTAATTATAAATAAATTGTATAAATTGATAAAGAACTACATTTTTAATTAACTCATATAACTGATAAACAGTAATAAACTAATTAACAAAACTTAAGGAAAAATTACAGTAAACTAATCAACACAAAGATATGAAAAAAGTAGAATACAGGCAACTATAATAGAAAATAAAAGACAAATTAAATCTTCATTTATGTGAATGTGTGTGTGTTTTTAAAAAAATATGATTTATGATTATTAAATTATTGTGGTCTACAAACTTTTTCCCTCCAGAATTTAAAAGAAGTACTAAAATAGTTTAAGAGTTCATTAACATGTCAGTGATGAGCCGAATTTTCAAAACTAAAACGTTCCTTAAAGAATAAAAAAGTGGATTGTTATGTTTTATAAAATCAAATAAAATACGAAAACAGAAATATATTGTATTTGATATATGGATTGAATGTCACTATCGTGTAAATGGCATGATGTGCAACTGAATTCGTTCTAATCACATATGTATAAGAGTAGCTGCTGACCGTTCAAAACTTACTAGAAACTTTGAATTTTACTATGTCATGTACAAAACTATGTTTTTCAATTGTTTTAATTGTTCTTTATTTTCAGATTTCATTCAAATTTTGCCCAGTTGCTGTGGCTTGAATCATTTTTGGGCTGGGATAGCCTGGTTGGTAGGGCGTTCGTGAGAACGGGAATTCGAATCCTGTCGGCCGAAGAAAACCCGCGTATTACATGGTGACTAGTGCACGTTAAATCTGTCGGGGTCAGAAAGTCCTCCAAGTTCCAATAACAAATCTAATACCTCTGGGGGTACTGAATTGGAGATTGATCGTTCCTTGGTATAGGTTAAAATTACGATCTGTGGATGGATGTATGAATGGGTCCGCCCTATAAACGTCTGTGACGTATAGGTGAGACAGAAGTCGAATTCTTGGCCATAGATGGCGCCATTAAAAGACAAGAAACTCATTCTCTGCCTTAAATTCGTTTGGTTTCCCAAAGCAGCGATGGAAACAACAAAAGCAGCAGAATCATTTTTTAACCCTAAAATTCTGCAACATACTTTTTTTTCAAAGAAAAAATAAATAAAAGTCAGCTTTTGATACTTCTGGTTTCTCTAAACCACAAAACAAGTGGAAAATCCTTTTATCAAACTTCATTACACCCTATAAAGATTAGTAGTACGAGCTGTCTTTATGCTTTAAAATATCCCAGTTATACTATTATTACTTTGAATATAATTTTGTTATATGTTCCACATAATATGGTCAAAACTCTTATAATGATTAGTTTTATGATGTAATTTAGTGATATAATGTTATGACGTAATGTTAGTATATAATTTAATGATTAGTTTACAGTCGGGGAGCTCAAATTGTCCTTCAAATCTGTCTTTTATAGGTAATAATTATCTGTTTTTTTTTTTCTTCAAAGAATACAATTTCACGATATTGCAACATAATTTAATATCTCATATTTGAAATACTACGTTTGGAAGTTGAAATACCGTAACTATGGGTATTACCTTAGAAAAGCAATAGTCATAAATAAAAGTTTAAGAAAACTATCCTTTTAAATTCTTTACTTCCTTAACTTCGAAAAATGTGGTCACGGATATTTTATGTACAATAGAAATCGAAAGAATTAAATAATATCGCTTTTTCTTAAATAAGTTGTAGGCTATTATGTAATTTAATATTATTATTTGTACATAAAAGTTAGAATTTTTGGGCAGGAATAGCATATTAACCCTAAAAAATTATTGGCGTTGATTGGTGATTTTGTTTTTCCTTTCATAAAAATGCGGAGTCAAATAAGTACAGTTTTTTTTCCGACATAGTTAATAATAATTTGTTATAAATATTTCTTGATATAAAATCTCCGCAAATATAAAACAATACCTTTAATTTAAAGAAACGATTTCAATACAGAAATTAAACTATTGAAGCCAATAATATAGCTCATGTTCAAATATGTCAAAATCGATTTTGACATAGGTAATAAGAAAAAAACTGAGCATTGAAATTACGATGGGGAAGGAGTTTCTACTTATTGTTTAATATGTTCTATAGTTCTATTGTTCTAAAAAACATTTTAAAATTACCTTGATTAAAGTAAAAATGAATTAAATATTTACGGCATTTTTTATTAATTTTAACGTACTGCCAACTATCCAAAAGAATAAATGATCTGTTATTCAAATAAAATTATTTTGGTAAAAATATGTCATTAATTAAATAATTAAATGAAAGCTAAAATGAATCAACATAACCATGATAAAAAATTATTTTAAAAGTCGAAACTTAACACATATTTCAATTAAAATCTAAAAAGAAAACAATGTTTTGCCTAATTATAAAATTGATCAGATGTATAGATTATAGAAATAAACATTTATGCTAATTTAATTTGTTTTCTCCAAAAGTTAGTCTGACTAGCATAGAAGTTAGTTCGTAGTTCAGCATATTTACTAGTTTAAAGAAATTGTGTATTCATAGGACTAATATATGCATGATAAAATACGATCTAATGATAAAAAAGCAACTTTACTAAGAATTTCAAAGAAAAATAAAATAAAAACCCAAATTATTGTGACTAACACATATCTTTCAACAGAATTGTTATTGGTGCTAATACTGAAACAACACGCCACGGCAATACAGAGAATAACATAGATGCAACGGAGAAAGATATTAAGCGGGAATGATACTTGAAAGAGGCTAACATAATTGAAAAAGCAACCTGAGGGACACTGATATCCGACCAATATCTTATAAATGTCATACAGATATTGCAATATTCGAGTGATATCATTTAGATATTATACATTAAGATATCGCGTGATATCATTAAGATATATATTGGAGACGTTAAATCTTCTTTTCAATGTAGAAAAAATGATACAACAGGAGCAAATGGCAAATGCATGAAAAAGCATAAATATAATTATCATTATTATGTTTATCATAATTATAATCAATTATTATAATTATAAATAATATTCTTTAATTCCTTCCCATGTTCAAGACTAATTAGGATTGTCACATTTAGGTCTATAAGTTAGAGCAATCGAAAAAATTTTTTTATCAACATATTTTTTTTTTATTGCCAAGGAATGCACGAAGAAACTTATCTATTTCATTTATTTTAATTGAATTTCTGCTTCAAAAGCAGAAACATAATTCATTTTATCCGTATATATGAAAAACTACTTTAATATTGTTCTCTAAAATTTTTAAGAATGATTTTTAAAAAGTAATTTGAGAAACTTTAAATTATGCCTTTTCTGATTTAAAAATGAATGTTAAAAATGATTAAAAAAAGTTTTAAGTCTTTTTAATCTTAAAGGAATAATATAGTAACAATTTAAGAAAATTCCTTTTTTTAATTATTAATTATTTTTACTGATATCTTTAAAAAGAAAGTAACGATTAAACGCCATCGTTGTAAATCATATATTTCATTTCACAACACAATTTTGAATTAAATACTCACCTTAGTTTTCCTTGATGACTTGTATACCTGTCTTTCTTCACTATAAAATGCTAATAGAATTTGTGACATTTACCAAACGATTCTGTTTTAAACCATTTGAAATTCGTCTCAATATATTTCATTTATGATATAAAACTATTAGAATATTCTATAAAGTGAATTCGTGTGTAATTGTGTTTTATAATCCTAATTCAACTTTTTTTTTCCTCAAAAAACCTAAGAATTATCATTAAATTCCCTAACCGCTGTTACTAACAGTAGAGATATTCAAGGACGATAAATTCTTGTGAAGGAAAACGAGTTTTCTTACGAAGAAAAAAATTATCTACTATTTTCGTCTGCTACCACTTAATTGTAATGCGTTTATGGATTACTCATTTTCGGTGATTTATTTCAGATGAAATCACGTCTTTAATATGTAGTATCTGTTCGAAATTTTATCATTAATTAGCTGTCCTGCAGTTCGTGATATTTAGAATCTTCCAGAATTATCTTATCTACATATACAGTAATAATTAAGGCAATCAGACGAGATTATTTTACGGAATCCATAATACTTCATTCTTTTTGTTTGTCTGAATGCAGCTTAGAATATCCTCTTTTTCTACTCTTTCTGACGTAAAATATTTTTTCAAAAAAATATCAAGACGATAAATGTATAATGGATATTGAAAGAACTCTAAAAACTTTCAGCATTCAAAAATTTTTTGTGCGATTTTGGAAACATTTTAAATATACTACATGCGTAATTTTAACACAACACATAGTAAAATTTGAAAATGTATTTAAACTCATACCACATTCATCTTTTAGAGAATACTTTTTCGACACAAACTAAGAGTTTCATTGTTTTATTTTTTTTAAATTTTGTCAATGACAATACATAACAGGAATTCGTTTGATAATGTGACATTTTATATTCCTCACAGAGTGATTCTTTTCATTATCTAGAAGAAAATTGAAGATTTTGAATTTGAGTTAATTAACTTGCATTCAGCAAAATTTCAGCATTTACATAAGAATACTTATTTTCTGGCATTCAATGTAATATTAGATTTTGATAGCTTTTGTACATTTTGGATTGATTCCCAACATTTTACCATTTTTTAGACTTTTTCATACAAAACTAGAAATTTTTATGCAGAATTTGTTTAATTTTGCAATATATTCATACATTTACCATAAAGTACGACATATAATTAGAGAATTGCAACTTATGCATTATTCGGTTTATTCCAGTAAAGCCTGAATTTTTTTAATGTCTTGATGCACGAAAAACTCTTATTAAAAAAGTGATTTTTTTTTTTAACTAAATGAATATTTTTTTCCGTTAGGTACAAGATTTCTGAAAAGAATAAATAACGTTTGCTTGACGTGTAAGCAGTTCTTTTTCAAATCAGAAGAATTCGCATAGAATTGTCACAATTCCCGTGACACATATGACACGATAGGGATAAAATGAGTTAACATAAAAATATTTAAAATGCTTAGTAATATTTCAAAAAGTACTCAATTGTTAAATATTTTTATTTTCTAGTTGCAGAAACATGAATTGTTTTATTTCCTCTTCCAGTGCTAAATCTTTTTCAATATATTTTAAAACGCAAAATTTTTGATTAAATGCTAAAGTAATTTTGATTTAATTCATAAATACACGAGAAAAGTTATGAATAAATTTTAATTTGGTAATTAAAGAAATAGAAAAACCTTGAAAATTAGCATCAGACAATGCAATGTCTCTTAAAAATTATTAGTTCCTTTTATTATAAAATTTGAATAACAAAAAAAAATTAAAATCTGCAAATTGAAAAAAAATGTACAACTAAAAGATGCGCATTTGACATGAATTCATCTCAAATGTTGGAACTTTAAGTGATATTTGCAAAGAAAATTAATTACCTGTAACTAAGATTACTAACTTTAAATAATATTTGCCAAGAACACTTCGCAAAGACTAAATACTTTATGATCTATAGACATAATGATCTATTGACATTATGATCTATTGACATTATGATCTATTGACATTACGATCTATTGTTTTGGTCTATTGGTCATTTGAAAAGATGCTTAAAGAAATCTTACGTAAGAGGAAAATAAGTCAATAATATAAATGAAAAAATGTTTTTTAAAGGAAAATATAATAAAAAAAGAAAGAAAAAAGAAGTGAAATCGATGGAGAATTATAGTGCTGATTGCTATCATTGACTCACCCATTTAATTTAATTTCATAGAATTTTTTATATTAACTATTTTTAAATAATAAATAAATATGATTTAATAATAAATGATAAATAAAATAATAAATAAATAAATATAATAAATAAAGATAATATAATAAAATAAATAAATATGATTTTAATTACAAAATAATCAATAAATTTAATGAATGAAAACTATTTTTTTTTGGGGGGGGGGAGTCTGCAGAGATATTTCTTCGCATTTCACTTTCAATAATAGCAACTTAGTTAAAATTTTCGTCATAATAGTAAAAAAACAAAAAGATGAAAAATTATACTTTCTTTTTCACTAAAAAAAAGCTTAAGTCATGAAAAAATATAAATAAAACCTGAGAAGTACCTGCTTTTAATTAGAAGCAGAAGACGGTGAACTAGGCAAACGTTTTGGACTCTAAAATTTAAGGCACATGAGAGTCAGTTCAGAGCATGACTACATTCTAGTCAGTTAAATTTTAAAATTGTAATAATTTGTGACATTTTATTTCAGCTATTGTCGTAATTTTATAATTTAACTATTTTCGTAATAATGTTATTCAATATTATCTTTAGAATGTAATAATTTACTTTTGCAATTTTAATTCGTTATCTTTCAAAATTTCAGCGTCATACAGANGAAGACAAGCGAGTTAAGAACTGACAAGAACATATCCTGCCGTAGAATTCCGGTTTCCGAACGATAAGGCACCGGAAAAGCCCGTCGTGACGTCACATTAAAAGAAACTACTGAATGACAGGTCTGAAAAGAACATACCTGTGGTATACAATATTCTATAATGATAACATTAAGTGGACACAATTATCTCGCCAAATAAAAGAGCGACGGGGCTTTCCTCAATCGCCAGCAAGAACTGGTGACGAAATTTCAAGGTCTGGTGGTTCATCAACCGTTTAGCATTCGATTTTTTTCTCGTGTTTTTCGGAGTTCTGAAAATGACAGCTCGTGTCATGTAGCCTTCGATTTAGATTCGATTAAGCCCACTGCTCTGATTTACAAATCATCTTGGGAATCCGGATGCACTTTTTTTATTGTTATTATAGTTGATGGTAATACCAAGATTTTGCCTTTGGCGAAGAATCTGGAATCACAATTCAGTCGCTTCACGTCTAAAAGACCTTGACAGCTTTTGATCTTCCCATTTTTACTATGGCAACTAATGGTTTAAATTTTTCACTGCTTGACAGTATTATTTCGAAACGCTGGAAAATAATAGGAAAAATTAAGTTCGATGAATTGCATTTCTCAAAAAGATATATTTCTGCAAATCAATGACTCAGTGTGAAACTGTGACAAACCGCAGGAAAAAATAGAAACTAGTTTAAAATTTAAAAAAAAAAAATTTAAACCCGGAGAATATACCACGCATTGAGTGGTTGGAAAAACTCTCGAAACCTTTTTTGTTTCAATGAAAATAAATATTTCAAATTAGACAGGCTGTTCCATAATCTCCATCATTAAGGTATATTTCTAAAATCCTTATCAAAAATAAATTTTGAAAAGTTTGAGGGGGTCACAAATTATTTAAACAAAAAAAAAAATTTAAAAATCCATCAAATCAATTAGGAGGAAGGCAGCTAGCGAACATCAAACAGTATAAAATAGAAATAAAAAAAAATGATTATCAATCAAGCCACCAAACAGGCTCTGATGTTTTACATCCTGCTTTCCTCCTTAGTGGTCTGTTAGACTTCCTATTAAAGTATTGTTTTACTGGTATTTGTTTACTAGTAAAATAATTTTTATTCCTAATTAAAAAGTATTCGAATTTAATATTTATTTTAATTTTTTTAAGTTCGTTACTATTATTGCATTTTTGATCATTATTCTAAACTAAAGGAAAAAGTGCGGTTTCTTTATTATAAAATCTGTACATATATTTATCTTATGTGGTACCATAAACCTAGGTATTTCTCCATCTATTCACAATACTATTTTTCCTTTTATTAGATTGCCTTAAGTCAAAATTTAAGTAGTATTAAAAAATTATTTGCATGTTAAACATTTATTTAGAATAATTTTGTGCTTCTATAGAAATAAAAATTTATTTGCCGAGTAATTATTTAGAGTTTATTTTGATCCTTTCTAAAACAGCTGTAAAAATTGTATACATGAAATTAAAATAGCTGTCTCACCAATTATTGCTATACTTCAGTTATAGCTGGAGGGGTGCGTGAGGAAGTAGTGCAGCAAAAACTGGACCATTGGGATGAGGTTTACACGACAGAAAGAGGGATGGAAATAATTTAAATATTTCCCCTCATACTTACAGAGATTTATATGATTTAATGGCTGCCGGACACATTTCAAATTATTGCTAAAAATCAATACATAAAGAACTTAGACAATACCAAGGATATCACTTAAAAATAGTGAAAATAGAAATCAAAATATTTCCGTGCGGACAACAGCTAGAGACGGGGAAAAACATTTGTTAAATATATTGTATAAACAATTTTAGGTGTTAGAATTGGAGGAGAGGGTAAAGATTTAAAATACAGGGTGTTCCAAAATTATCTTTACAACAATTCATAAACTTTTTACAAAAATTCATAACTTCGAACATAAACAAGATATTTATATTCTGTCTTTTGCATGTATTACTGCAACTAATAAAGTTTTTTTTTTTCAATAGGCTGAAAAGTTTTAAGTGAGGATGTGGACACCACAACAGAAAGCTCAATGCGTCTCATGGCCGTATTCGCTCCACATTTTCTGGACTTGTGCTGGGTCGTCCGGCTCCACTTTTATGCAATACTGATCCGGTGCTCATGAAGCTTGTGTGCCATGCACGGATGGAGGGTCTGGATGGTGGGCCTCTTTGGAAATTTGTCCTGAAGTTCCGTTGAACCTTTGTATCTGATTTCGTCTCTATGAACCATGAGACGCATTGAGCTTTCTGTTGTGGTGTCCACATCCTCACTTATAACTTTTCAGCCTATTGAAAAAAAAAAATTATTAGTTGCAGTAATACATACAAATGACAGAATATAAATATATTGTTTATGTTCGAAGTTATGAATTTTTGAAGTTGTAAAGATAATTTTGGAACACCCTGTATTTGAATACAATTGCATACCCTCCAACTGCTATGTAATTTCCGTAGTTTCAAAATTCTTCTTTTCAGACGGTAGTAAAATTAATGTCTTAATATTTAAAAAAAATTAATTTTAGCGTAACTTGTCCACTATTACTTATAAAAGTGCAGGCCACATGGCTAGATTCTTAAGTTCTGATAAAAGTTTTATGAGAGATCCATTTGCTTTAAAAATTTCTACTTTGGTTCGCTACCACTAGAAAGAATTATTTTCAAAATCCTCATAAGTTGGAGGGTATGCAATTGTGCTGTGTAATCGGTTTGGTTACCATTAAAGAGATGCCAACTGCTCCGGACACGCCAAAATAACTAAAAAAAAACGGTAAATAGTTATTAAGTAAATTTTGCAAATATGTGACTATTTTTGCTTGATTTTTAAGAGATATGGCATGACATAAGTCTACGAAAGTGGTGAATTATATACGCGTACGAATTATTTAGAAATAGTGGTGGATAAAAATCTACTAAATTGAATTTATTAAACCAAGAATCACAATTGATAAACTACCACTTTAAAATGTATATTTGCTGTCCGGAGCAAGTTGGCATCTCTGCCATTAACGTTTATATGTTGTACAAAATAATTTTTAAGGAAGACCAAGAAGATCGCCGAAGGCGGCTAGTACCATGGATACTACGCAGCATTTATGATTTAAATCGGTATCTAATTTTATTAAAAGGTGTACAATATGAAAACAGTGAATAAGTCACATTTAATTTCATTTTGCGCTTTGTATAAAACGTTATTCAGTATATCAATTAAAATCAATGAAAATCAATTGAAGTCATGAAAAAAATTTAGAACATTAGGAATTAACTTTCCGCACTATTACTGTAAAATATCTTGGATGTGGCCAGGATAGCCTTGTTGGTAGGGCATTGATCCCACGTCCAAAAGGTTATGAGTTCAATCCCCACCGGCCGAGGAAACCAAGTGTAGTCAATAGTAACTGGTGCACGTTAAATCGGTCGGGTCACAAAGTTCTCTATGTTTCCATAACAAATCATACCTCTGGGGGTATTAAATTGGTGATTGATCGTTCTTGTCAAAATTAATATCTGTGGAAGAATGAATGGGTTCACCCTATAAACGGGCTGTGACGTGTGCGTGGCTGAAGTCGTCTTGTTGGCCATAGATGAAGCCACTAAAAAACAAGAAACACACCCTCTGCCTTAAATTGGCTAGGTTTCACTAAGCAAGCTTGCCAATATTGGCACTTGGCATTGGAAGCAACAAATCTTAGATGCAAAAAACTTCCGAGTTTTTAAATATGAATTCAAAAAACAAAATTGTGCATGAAATTTTGATAATAAACGAGTAAATTTGTTATAACAAAGCATTTATTTTAGATGATGTAGAGGAGAGTCGGGTAGCCCCACCCACTTAAGGAGTATTGCTTATATTTCTGTATAGCCGGCCAGGTGGCCGAGCGGTTGCGTGCCTGACTGCGAAGCCATAGGCTGCGAGTTCGAATCCCGCTCTGGGCAGGGATGTTTCTCTTTCTTGTGTTGTCCTCTGTTGTGTGTGATAAATGAATGTGGTCCACCCTATGGACGGGTTTGTGGCAGTGTGGCGTGGGCAATGTTGCTCACCTCCGTGACTTTGGTTCACAGGTGTCCACTGGGTAACACGAAATGAGTAACATCTCTGGCATCTTCTAAGGCGAAAAGAATAAGGAAGTTCAGTGCCTGCCATTCGGAAAAAAATTTTAATGATAGTTTAATAGAGACTGAGAAAATCCTTTTTTTTAAAAAAAAAATAGATCTTAACGAAATCATAAGTGAAATGTTTGGATGTGTGTAGTAGGGAGCTTAAACGTAAGCAAACAAAATTCTTTTTAGTACATACATTTGAAGTGAATAGTTTCATCTTTTGATGAAAAAAAATTGTCCAAAGAAACAAAACTAATTACGAAGAAATCATGTAAGTTAGTGAGAGACCGCGAACAGGAGACTTTGACCCCTTGTACCAAAAACGAAATCATTTTTTTTTTTTTTTTAAGTCTAATTCATATGAAGATGCTGTGACAGGCAATGGAAAATTTAAACAGAAGATTTGCCGAGTGCGGGCGTTAGATCGGAGAGCGTCTAAAAAGAGTTATGTCTAGAAAACAGATTTTTTTTTTTTTTTTAGTTTTTTCTGTTAGAATGACACTGAATGATTTTATGTTCATCGTCTTTTCTTGTGTGTTTAAAAGTAATTGAAGCTAATATTTAACTTCTGATGATACTTTTAAATTAACCCGTTTTGCTACCGCACCTCATATTTAAGCAGGGAAAAACAAAATCATCGAAATCTAACGAATCACTATCGAGAAATGTACTGAAAACCAATTTGATTGCTTGATGAAATTCGGAAGCTTATCTTGCGACAGTCTTTCAACCCTTTTCTATTTCTTTAGCCAATGAAGCAGGTTTTGATATTTTTAGTCCAGTCTTCCTCAGATTTTGATAGACTTTTTGTTTCCTGCTTTTCTTTTGTTGACCCTTAATAGCTGCCCACTGTTTAAGATGACCTAAGTATAAAAGGCTTAAAATTTTGCTCCCTAGATATGTATATTGTCTTACTGCATTTTCGACAAGGATTCAAAAATATAAGATAAGAGTGGTCCATACAAAACACCCTTCATATTTCTGTATGTGCCTGTATAATAACGAAACGAAACTCGCGATATTAATAGATTTATTAATTGGAAACTTATATTTTGAATCCCTGTAGCTATCTTTTTTTTTAACTTTAATTCCTTCCCAATTTTTGTCTTACTCTGTATTTTAAAGGAACTAAAATTTAAATTCAATGGGGGAGGAGTGTTCTATTGAAATTTTTTCTTAGTGAGAAAAAGACTTATAAAATGGTAATTTTTTTTATTATTGAATATTCAGTGTTTTCTCCCTTTTTCAAAACACTTTTTGAAGGAAAATCACATAGATAAATTAAAAGTTAAAGGATAATCTATTTTTCGTTCTTTGGTTCTTAATGCAAATATGGGATTCCGCGGTACGCTGCTGTTCTTTGTTTTTCTTGTTTCATTTGTGGTCTATTTTCCTCCAACATAAATAAAGCATCTTCAGTGCTCATGTGCCAGTATCAGTGAAATGCGTTCTATTAGCGTTTAAAAAGTAATACAAGCAGTTAAGAACAGCATACGTTTTCTGACTTCTTTTATGGATGTAAAATGCAGCGTAAGAAACAAAAGTAATGAAAGAATGTGCTCGAGACTAAAAGTAAAAAACAATTTTTAATAAATATTAATCTCTAAAATTTCTAAAAATGTTAAAATATCCTATTTAGATGTGTACATAAACACACAATGAAAGCACATAAAATGGAAGTTGTTAGACTAAAAGGAAAGGTCGCTGTAGCAGCATTGATAATCTCATCCACGATAAATATCTTCCAGCCCATGTCACTTTGGCTGTAGCTCTGGAAAAAGGAAAAAGCTTTAAATAAACAAAGCACTGCAAAAAATAAAAATATTATTCATTGCCATCTTATAACACCTTAAAACTAATTAGCTTCTTTTCTCTACAATGATTAAAGATTTTTTTTTTATAAAAATTAAGTGAAAATAACGTGTATTGAAAATTACAATAAAAAAAAAAATTGTGATCTCTTTATTACGATCACTGATTATCCATTGGTCAAATGCTTTTTTTTTCTGGTTTGACTCCGATAAACGACACAACATTTCAAATCATGAGTTGCAAAAACTGTCTCAACTGATGTTTGATTGGTTTTCAAATCCTGGCTATATACGCGTTTCAGGACGTCACAAAATACTTTTCCTTCCTCAGTATTTATATTAAAATCACCGTCAAGACAGTAATTATAAGTTAATAATGAAAAGAATATTAAAATACTTTAAAATATTATTATGTAAATACATCAAGAATGACTGCTGGGGGAAATAAAAAGAAAAAAAAAGAATTCTAAAAAAATTATCAAACAGTAGCTATCGCCATAGCAACGCGTGCAATGACGACGCATGCGCACTGTTTACTATTACTCTTGAACACAGTTGAAAAGTGTGATGACGACCAAATAAAGTGAGCACGCCATTAAACCCAAAATAAGATTCATTTTGCAAATCGGTAATAATTGAAAATAAAGAAATCTTTACATAAAATAAAGAATTTGTGTGGGTATATACGACTGCATGCTGCATGCATTCTAAAAGAATTTTTCCTGCTCGCGGATTCATTAAATTTTTTTAAAATTTCATTTTAACTTACCTCATTACCAATTTAACAGTGAGTATATTCAATAGCATAAACTCGAAGGAAATACCTCTAATGAGTTTTTATACAAAATAATATAATCCAAAGCAGTTGGAAGAAATTTTGTCACAGTCCTCGTAAGAAGGCTGTGGCAAACTTCAGACTCTCAACAGGACATGACTGCTTGGCAGAGCACCTCAATAGAATAGGTATCCTTCCATCTAGTGAGTGCCAAATCTGCAATTCGGGAACCATGAACTCAGACCACTTGCTTGTATGTCCTTTACTGGACAAACAATCCCAAGAGCGGGGTGATCTCTGTAAACTTTACTGGGATGCCAGAGATCACATGAACTCTCTGTAAAGACTACTCCTCATTCTTCACTATATATATAGTTTTTTTCTTACTTTAATTTCATCTATGTGTTCTTTTTGTGTTAATATGCGTTTCTCATGTGTTTTCTCTGTTATTGTAATTTTGTTCCTTTTTACTCCTTGTTTATATCCACTTAAAGTTGAACATTGTATATGGATTGATATTTCCAATAAAGCCATATGTAACAACAATATAATAGGCAATATAAAAGCAATAGAGGCAATATAATAGCAACAAAAATCTTACGTGTATATGGAAAATTGTAAATAGCAATAAACACGCGACACAATTTTGAATAAAATATGAGAAAATTCTTAACTCTGAAATAAATGTGAGATTTATAACTCATAATTAAAATTTGTAAACAAATATTTTTATTCGCGAAGTTCATTAAATTATTACTTGTATTTATATTTCGATTAAGTTTGTAAAATATAGAAAGGGGAAAACAAATTACTTGATAGTAAAGAAGATCAGGAACTGTAGCGTTAGGCGTCCAATGTAGAATGGATGGTTCTCCTTCCGCACACTCCAGTTTTAGTGTTTTCCGAAATTTGGGAAAAGTAGGAAAATCATCGTCTGAATAACGATGGGAAGAGTTGTGCACCCACGCACACAGACGACCAGCTGCAGAAAAGAAATAATTCTATTCAATGGAATCATAAATGGCAAAATAGGATAATTTGGAGTTGATCAATAAATACAAAGAGTTACATTAAATAGAAACAAAAACTACAGTAAATAAAGGGTAATAAAATAAAATCTGTATATTCTTAATTTAAAATAACAAAATGGCAATACGGTATCAATATGATTTTTTTAAGAAAAATTATTTCATTCAAATGATTGCCTTTGCCCTCAAACCTTTTTTTTTCTCTGAAAATTCGATTTTTGATTACTTTTCCTCATACATCTGCACTTATTTCACCAGTTAAACAAATGTCGTTAGTTTTAATCATTTTGATGAGTGTATGTGGTTTATTGGAATTAACCAATTATTGAATATTAACCCTTTCACTCAGAATTTATAATTGAACATTTTTCATAATTTTGTATTAACTTAAGCTAAAATAAGATCAAATATTTTATTTAGCCTTTTAATAATATATGGTTGGGAATTGCAGCATGACACACCGGTGTCTTTTCTGAGTTAAAAGTAATATCCTCTAGACCAGGGATGGCGAACTAATGGCACGCGTGCCATTTATGGCACGAGATACAATATTTTGGGCACGCCGCCGATCACAGTTGTTATTACACAAATGTTATTACACTATGAAGCATATGTAACAGCTAAATTAAAATTTAAAAAAGAAAAACAAAATAATAAACAATTATTAATAAAAAAATTAACTATTAATATGTTACCTAATAAACAATTAATAACCATAAAAAACAAGCTAACAATAAATAACTAGCAAAAAAAAAATAACAGTCCTGCTTAAACTAACACCTTACAACCTAATATAAGTTATTTGTCATCTAATCTGCAGCAACAGAAGTCACACTGATGTTACTTTATGTTGTTTTAAGACATGGCTAAATGCATTTTTTTTTCAATGTAAATAAAGAGTTTTGAGTTGATAGTATTTAGTGTTATTATTTTCCCAATAATCACGAGGTCAAAATTATTTGATGGCACGTCTATGACCTCATTAAACAATTTTTTAGAAACATTGGCACGTTGGTGTATAAAGGTTCGCCACCCCTGCTCTAGACAATAATTTTTTAAAATTTGCATTTGTTTGCAGTTACTTAGATGCTAGAGAAACAGTTACTGATCACTGAAACTTCTTTAACTTATAAACTAACTTACTGATAAATTTTTGAAAGTAAATAAAAAAAAAATTTCAAGCTGCTTTTTGTGGATTTTATATTTTAGTACAAATATAATTCCGATAATCTAACAGATTTTTTGGCTAGCTAATAGACTATTTTTGTAATTAAAAAATACCAAACCATAATTTTGCTCTTTATTAGAATGTCAGAAAAAAATACATAAAAGGATCACCGGTGTACTTGCGTCAAAGGGTTAACCCAAAGAATAAAATCGTATGGTGATACAAAAAATTACAATTATTTGAATAAATTGGATCCAAATACAAAATGCAATGTTTTTTAAGCATGTATCATTTTTGATATACTTTTCCAAATTTCTTATAGTAAACGATGAATATTTATTAAAAAGAAAATATAGAATTAAGGAAAGTGACCAATCCGCAAGTTGTCATTAGACTAAAATCACTTAAAAAAAATGCATTATAATTTCGAACCCCTTAAGATGAATCTTCAATTTTGAATAGTCTATTTTAATTTTTCTAGCCAACAACATTCAAAATTATCACAAGTTGATTTCAAGCGGAAAAAATTTATTAATTTGAAATATTCTCACTGAAAATAAAATTATGTGTCAACTCACCGACTGATGGATGAGGTCTACCTCTTCTGTCGAATTCTACGCCAGCGTAGATTTTCTTTCCCTAGAAAAAAACATCTATGGTTAGTTTATTTATACTTTTATTAAAATCGCTTTTTCACTGGATGAAATTGGAATTTCTGCCAATTAGAAATTAAAATAAATGTAATTCAATCTCTGGATAAATTTAAAATAACTAAATTAATTTTAATATTGATATACATACTACATTTTAGAATTAAAGTAGATTTTAATCATTTTACATCTAATTTCAGTATTCTAATCTTTCCTTAATTACAAAATTTTTTGCCACCTTTTGTTTTTCAAATATAGTTATCAGTTTATTACATTTTATCATGTATTCTGACATATAAGCTAAATACGGTGTTTAATGAAAATGTTTCTTGTATAGATGATGTTTGAGACAGCTGACACTGTCTTCTGTATGCAGATGTAGTTCATTTTACAATATTAGTCTTATCGTTCAAAATGCACAAACATACTTATCAACGCGTGCTAAAATAGAATATCAAACACAGTACATCGTCGAAAAAGTGGTTTCTACATGAACAAGGCAACCATATAATTAAAAATTTTAAAAAATATATGTATGAGTTATTTCAAGAAATACTTTCAGAAAATTTTTCAGAAAAAAATTTTCGTGAATCATAGCATATTTGAGTTTATTTTTACGATTCTGCTGACGAATCACAGAATTAGCTGCTTGAAAATCACTTGAATAAACAAGAATCAAAAAGTGGTGGACCGTCACCAAACAAAGACCACTCGGGAAAGACTTTTCGTTAAGGCCAGGACCCACCCAAGGCTGTTGTGCCACTGAAGAAGACGAAAAGGAATAAACAAATGTAAGAGAGCAATTGCTTTTTAAGTAGCTATTTGCTGGAACAATTTCTGACTTTTGTTTCTGCTTTTATTTCTAGTTAAATCACCAACTACATCAAAATGAGTTTTCATGCATACAAACGTTTCAAACATATCTTTATAGATAATGCATATGGCCAACCAAACTTGTTTGTAGACTGTAGTATTTTATGAAATTATTCTTTTATCGAACTGTATATTATTTAACTTGTGTGAGTTAGTCACAGTTCATGTTTTTTTGCTTTTTTGCTTTTTCTTTTTTTAATGTTCGTAAGCTAATTTTTTTTAATATTTTAAAAGTTCTCCAACCAACATTGTATTGTTTTGGCTTGTAAAAACGTTCAAAAGTTGAGAATTGGGTATTTTTAACTCGAGAAGTAAAGTGATCATGTCTTAGCACGTGATTCAACTCAGTTTCAAATATTTAAAATCAACATAACTCTTCTCTGCAAGATATAACATGCAGCTTAAAAATACTTTTTTCAAATGCAATACATGGGGGTAAAAATATTTAGTTTAGTGTAATTTACTTCTGGATATATGACGAAACATTCAAAAGTAAAATTAACATTACAGTTGGAACCATATTTTAAAAGTTTTAAATATAAACCCACCGATAAAAGCATGTTTACTTAAAGAAAGTATCAGGGATGAGAGTAGTCAGAAAGTAAAAAAGAGGAAATCCAAAAAACAAAAAAAAAGAAGGAAAAAAAAAATATATATATATATATAAACAAAAATTTGACAAAAAAGTGCGATTTTTAAACTTGTAAACCATGTGAATATAAATCCNGCGTACCCAGATGCAGGTAGAACTAATTACAATATTTATTGCATGGGTTTCATTTTATTCAAACTGCTCTTTACTGTAAGAATAACTTACTTATAGTATAAATAAGGAAATAAAAGATATTAAAGGCATCTCGCTTTACATTTTGTGCACTACATTGTCATCGCAAAAGGCACACTTAAAATAAGAAATTTAGGAACAAATTGAACTTTAATATCGTACAAATTTGTAACTAACTTTATACGGTGGCAAGTTGAATCATAGTAATCACTCCTTAACATGATTACCCTGCAATATTGTTCAACTTGAATGGAAACGAGGTTAAGTTTTGCCACAAATTTCATACGGTGGCAAATTGAATCATACTGTTCAATCCTTATCTTGATTACTCGATAATATGGTTCAACTTGACACCAAATTTACACTTTTTTGAAAGTGCGGGAAATTTTATCATGACACCTACCATTTTATGGTTCAAGCTAGTGAGATTTTGATTCGACATTGAAATGATTTCCTTGAAAGACTTACCTGCCTTTCTTCTTCTGTGTATTTACCGTAACCTCCATGAGAATCATCTGTTATATAGAAAGGATGATAGAATCTGGCATCATAAGGCTCGTTGCCACCTTCAACAATAAAAGTATACCTTCTATTGCGTCTTAAATACAACTCAGGACTCAATAGCCCATTCACATACCATGCTACTCCAGGAGAGGATCTACCTGTTAATATAAAATCGGTTGCATTATTTTAAAGTCCGCGATAATAATACCGATTAAAATTACTGCGAACATAGTAGCAATGTCATCATTTTCATTACAGATTTTAATTTTTTTGAATAGTAAAATAAAATATCTTAAAAATCTTTTGTCAAAAAAAAATTTAAATAGCTTAAAAGAATTCACTTTTTTGTCAAATGTCTTCCTTTTTAGACCACTAAAAAACGCAAAATATCATACAATATAAGACCAATATAGGTGGGAAGAAATGGGCATAACCTGTACTCCAAATAAGGAAACAGGTCACTTGTCCCAGCACAGCAGCTGACGATAGGGCAGGGATAGCCTGTTCGGTAGGGAGCTGGGCCCATGTCCGAGAGTCCGTGGGTTCGAACCCCGTCGGGGCGAAGACTCCCCGTGTAGTAAAATGGTGACGGATGCACGTTAAATCTGTCGAGTCGCAAAGTCCTTCATGTGCCCATAACAAATCAATACCTCTGGGGGTACTGGATTGGAGATTGAGCGTTCTCTGATTCAGGTCAAAATTACGATTTGTGGATGAATGAATGGATGTAGGAATGGGTCCGCCCTATAAACGGGTGTGGCAGAAGTCGAATTCCTGGCCATAGATGGCGCCACTGGAAAAAAAGAATTATTGCACCCTTTTGACTTAACAGGCATACGTCAACAACAACAGCAGCTGATAAACACCCTGTTAGTCAGAGGAAAACAAGACTAATAGAGTAAATAAACGCCTTTAACAACTACACAACTCTAACGTTGGCATTTTATACTGTTTACCAGGGTACTTTCCAATCCCTGTAGCAACCACACTATTGCACCAAGGCACTCTCGATCATAATTGTTGGTCGTTGGAACTGTTCTTTGAGCTGCAAATAAGAGTCCAAAAGCGTCCCATACACGCTTGATGTGATTAAGATCAGGGGACATCCCAGGCCACTCCAATTGTTGAATATCTCCCAATCGGAGGTATCCACCAACTGAGCCTTGTGTGGACGGCCATTAATGCTCAATGAGATCAAAATTGGCCCATATGCTTCCAGGGCTAAAGAGAATAGAAGGGCTGGTTCACTCCTTTGAAGAAACTCTCGCCGCGCCAATCCTCCGATTTTCTCTAGCGACGTCACTTCGGAGCGAAGCTCGCACTTTTACATCAAGAACGGAGCGTTCGACCTTGCTAGCTCTAACTAATATTGGAGCAATTTTTTGTGACATATTCTAAGACACTTGTTATTTTCTATAATGACTTTCCTAAGTTTTTGCAGCGAATTTACAAAAATTTAAAACTATTATCGAAATGCCAGTTTGCGCGATTGCAACTTGCAAAAATTCTGATAAAAAAACAAAAGGAAAAACATATTCCCTAAAGTAAATGAACAATTATGTAAAGAATGGATTCCGAAAGGACACAGTTAATATAAAACAGCAATACGTTTTTTCTATAATGACTTTCCTCAGTTTTTGCAGTGAATTTACAAANCTGTTTGTTTAATAAATATGCTTTAGAAGTATTAAGCTGTTCCCGTTATTTTTTCGAACCTGATTGGCTCAGTTGTCTAGATTCCACAAATATTATGTATCGTAATAAAAGCATCTACAATTTAAAGGAAAAATGAGTGCACAATTGTATTATTACCAGGATAAAATTTTCTTTTATAAATAAATATGCTATTATTTATCATGTAAGCGTTCATCAAATGGTCAACGAAAGATGCGAAAGTGTGTTATATGTTGACTCTAGTGTAAATAAATTACCTTACATTACTATTTTAATACTTAAATGATATGAAGAAATGTACTGAAAACCAATTAATTCATTTCAGTCATTATGACTTATGTGTTTGAATCATTTAAAGGAAAGTAAAAAGCTTAACTGTCACTGAAGGATGCAAATGCATTTGATAATATGCGTACCCAGATATAAGTAAATTCTTTCAATACAGAAAGTTTCAAAATTTATAAAACTATGATATTTATTAAAATGAAAGATAAGATGGATTAGGAAAACAAACTTAATTTGGAATAAAAATATTCAAACTCTGGTCTGTAGAATATGTGACAACGTCACGAAGAAATAAGTAAGAAATTTACTCGTGAATGATATTCCTTTTTTTTATCTCTTAAAATAAGTTTCTAAAAATTCATATAAGTTTTCAAATTTCTTTGTCAGTACACAATATCTATCATCCTTCCTCTACTTTCGACGTCAAGACAAAAACAAGTTAATAAAATGAAAATCTTAACAGAAATTTTCTTATAACAATGAGTAAATGATCACTATTTAAAACAAAAACAGAGAAAAAATTCATAAAAGAGTATTTAAAAGTGAAATAACTTTCGAACAAAGTGGAATTTCTAAAAACCTTCGGTATTAGTTCACAGATCAAAATAACCTTTTTAGCAAGTCAAATTTAAACTACGTAGACGCCCTTTTTTGGAATACAGATTTGCTCGCGTGGTATTTTTTACTACATGCTTAACAGTTAACAATTCTCAAATTAACTGACGAATATTAAAAAATTTTATTCCATCACACTTCCTATACGTTCTTTTACAAATCTTCGTAATTTACTGTTTCGAAATGCTATTGTTTTCTCATAGCAGAACAAAAGCAACAAAAATTTGAACACCAAAAACAGCGGCAATGGGAGCTTACGCTTCTTTAACGTGTATTTACGTGTACATGTTTACGTGTTAATAGAAAAAATGATAGTTAACGAAAAAAATATTCATCTAAATTATAAAAGTACAAAGTTACATCCATTTTTTACTCATTTGAATTATATGTGTAAGCAAGACAATCATTCTATATTTCTATCAAGTTTTTATGAACAGAATAATTAATAATCTCATATAAGATACATTTTTTATAGATAAACATAAAAATACCTGTGATTCCATGATAGCCTTTTATATTTCCTGGAACGCCTACTCTAACTGTAAATGTAGTTATCTGTGGATCTCTGATTCTTAATGGACCCCAAGATTTTATTACAGGTTGTGATCTGGGTCTGGAAAACGGTACACAGTTTTTCTCTCCAGGTTTACGTCCAAGATTGAGTTTCAGATCGCCTGTAAATATTATTTGTCAAATTTTCTAAAAATCTGAATGTTTAGATCAAAATAGTAAAAAATTTCAGTAAAATTTTTTTTTTGTTTAAAGAACAATGCAGTCAAAATTTACAAATTCATTTTATACTAAGTGTTTTTTTAATCACAAACCTTAATATGTATTTTTATAAGTCTCGTCAAAAGTGAAGTAAAGAAGCAAGCACAGGTTGAAAGTTAATGTACAAGTGAAAAGCAATCCCTATCAAAACCTGGTGCACCACTGTAGAGGGAAGACTGGTTTTTAAGCAACAAAACCTATTTGATTGTCCGAAGAAACTGAAGTTAAAATGAAATTATAAAAGCATCTTCAAATTTAATCTTGTAATCAAACAGGTTTCGATGTTTTCAATCGCCTTCTTCAATGGCGTTTCGGCTGACTTCGATAACGTTATTTTCTACTCTTAAGCATTAATTTGCCCCCCCTCCGCCCTAGTTTGCACTAATTTTTACCTTATTTTTGATTAGATATTATGCACAGCTAGTATGAAGGATCCCATTTTCCCTTCACATAATATAATAATGAAAAAATAAATTTAAAAAATTGCTTAAAAATTATTCTTTTTTTAGTTCATTCGTAAAAAAGTGCCTAAAATGTAGTTATTTTGCTCTAGCATATAAAAAAAAGTTTGATTAGTTTTATTTAATTAGTTTTAATTTATAAGTTTACTAATTTTAATTTTTCCGGAATCTTCAGAAATGCCGAAAAAAATTTAAGTCATCCTTTCCCCCAAAATTGCATACGCTAATTTTTAAACGGTTTTACAATCATTTGATTAGAAATCTTATTATCGCCAAACACTAACAAAATTTTTGATAAAACCAAAAATAAAACAAATTAAATAAAACATTCGATTCCGAATAAATTTTAAGAATCAATCTCTGAAAGAAAAGATGAGATTTCTCAGTATTGTTTTAATTGTGTTAAGTTTAAGATATTGAGTTGAAAAATATTAATATTGTTCTACATATGATTTTTAATATAGGTAATATTTCCCCTTATATTTCGGATCATACGTACCTCTTAAGACTAATCTGTGATAAGTTGGTTCCCTGAATCTGTTGTACTTTCCTATGGCCCATACCATATAAGTGTCACCTTCTTGATTGAATACTTTATCACCAGTGTCCTCTAAAATTATAAAATGAGTTTATAAGCAATTCGAACTCATTTTTACTTAATTCCTTAAATGAGAAATAAAAATTTATAACAAACTAATTTCTTTTAAAAAAAAATTTATATTTCTCTTATAAATTTTTTTTCGAATGAATAAAAGAAATTTTTCAAAACTAATACCAACCCAAATTAATAAGCTCGAACCCGGAAAATTACAAAATTAAAAAAAAAATTTATGAATAAATTTCAGTCACAATTTTTAACTTTACCATATGAAGCAAATTTCTGTAATTTATAAACAAATAATCCCTAATAAAATTTTTGAAACATGGCTTAGATGCAGATTTGATTTTGTTAATTGGAACATCTTTGCCATATTAAAAAAAAGCATAACCTTCGTTGATTTTACCCTGCTTAACTTTAGGTAAACTGAATTAATAAGTTTAAGTTATCACTGGTAAGTTTACAGGGGAAACACGAAAGGATCCAGCCCAAAAAATCCTATCTGATTAAATCTTTTATAGTTTGAGCTTATGCTTTTATCAAAATAATTTTTTTCCAATACAAATTATCAACTTGGGACAAACTATCCTTCATTGGGGACTTTCTGATGGAACTAACCCGCATTTGCGTTACATGGAGAGGATAACCGCAAAAGCATCTCATGGTTAGCTGACGGCAAGGAGAATCTAACTCCATGATTCGTCTATCACTGATGATGTTTTACGTCAGCTCAGTGGACGGTGCGGATCGGCAATTGGAATTCGTATCAACAGCCACCACTGGGATTCGAACCTAGGTCGCATCATTGGAAGGTGAGCGCTGTATCCCTTGAGCCTTAGTGGCTCTAATGTATGTATTGTGGTTTGCTTATGGCCCCCCGAAGGAAATAAATACTGGAGAAAATTAACTGTAGTAAATTTTGACCTTCGAGAGTTGGCCCGAGCTATAGCACCCAGCTAAATGATACTGAGTATAGTTAATCTCTATTTTCATGAATTAAGCTTCTAAATTCCGCATTTTGTTTCATCTAATAACGTAAAGTCACCAGGACGTGCAACAAAAAAATTAATAAAAAAATTAGGAATTATTTTTTTACCCTTAATACTTACGTCTCGGTACATGCTTTTCAGTTTTGTGCGTAAATTCGAAGTATTGAATAACAACGATTCATTTATTATTTATTTATTTTTTACTTTGTACGAAGAGCGGATATACGGCTAGTGAAAAAAAATAACAAAAAACAAACCTGTGTTAAGAAGATTTCTTCTATATGTTAAAGTAGTGATTCCATTATTCCTTACATATGTATGAATTTGATAGGCATTTGCTACTCCTCCAACTTTCTCGTCTAAGCAAACGCCGCCATTCTTTCCCAGAACATTGGAACACTAGAAAAATACATTTTAATTACTAGTTTTATTAATTTATGTTATAAAAATTATCAACTTTTTAATTAATTCATGAAAGCATTTTTAATGGAATTGTTTTCATATTTTTATTGATATTTACAAAACTCCTTACTCGATTTAAAGCAGAAATCGATTAGCAATGGAAGCAAGAAAATTTAAAATGTATGTAATTAAGTAATTCGAAAAAAAATCGGAACGTATCTTTCATTTTATACTCTAATTATTGTTTGATTAGCAATATTTAACCTATTTTTATTGATTGTTATGTTATAGGCATCTTCTTAAAGAAAAAGTATTCGCAATTGGGTATAATATAAAAAAAACACAACTACTTCCACTTAGTAGGAATAACATTTACCATGACGCAATGCTAAATTCTATGCCACTATCCACATAAATGCCACTATCCACATAAATCAATTATTAATCAAAAATCGAATATCAATTACTTTTCTTTATAATGCAATAAAATCTGGCNGTTTAACGCTACATTTTTATTGGCCGGGAAATCACGTGGTAGGATCCAGTTTTCCCTCATTCATTTCCATATTGTTTTGGTTCTCACTGGCATAAAAATAATAAAAGTCATTAAAGTATTGTTTTTCTATAAATATTTTTCTAGTTTGATTCGATACACATATAATTTAATAGGGGAGTATTTTTTATTTTCAAATTTAGTGAATAACAATTGTAAAAATGAGTGGAAACAATCCCACGGACAATGCGACGAATTTAAGGTTATGTCAAGGTACGTCTCTTGTGAATATCAATTGATTGTTAGGTTTTCTCTTCTGAAATCACATTATGACGCATTCACATACATTATTAATACAAATAAATTTTCCAGGGCGAGACGATGAGGCAACCACAAGCACTTCCACTGGTTCAAGAGGCCCACGAGGGAAAAATGTACACTATTACCGTTATTACAGAGCACGGAAGCGAGCGGAGCAGGAAAAAGAGTCGTTGAATAGAACTAGTGATCCTTCTACGACTGCTGATTCTTCTACAATTTACGTCGCAGGTTGCGAAGTTTAACTTCCCACACGCGGAGGGACTCCACGCGCTATTTTTTTAATTTACGATGCTTTCTTCGCAATATTTAACCGTTAGTTTAATGATATGTGCCATCATAAACAGGCGTCTGTATAAAATGAAAACAAAGTTTGACAGGATGGGGTAGACCTACCTGACAGAGAATTAAACAGCAATGTAGGGTCGGAAACTTATTCGTAACGAAGCCCCCCAGTATAGTGCAGTCTGTAAGGAGATCGCTCATTTAGCTGTGTAGAACCTTGGGAATCTCAATCGTTTTGTAATATGCTGGCTGCGTATTCGCCAAACGTTCGTAGTCAGCATTTGTGCATTCACGTGCGAAGAATGCATGTCTCATTATTCCTCATTGCGAAATTAAGCGAACCTTCATTAGATAAAAAGGATGATCATCAGTAATATTAGGTAGGCCCAATTTTTGATCCAATCACCCATTTACTAAGAAGTAAATGGACGATTTAGATTAATTCATATTTTTCATTCTTGCACACATGCTATTTTCCCTAATTAGGATTTTATTTCTGACCCTGAATTTTCATTCAGATTTGAGTCATTTAGGTCTATCCTATCCTTTCTAGAGTTTTTTCCCTCCCGTTTTCAATCGTTCTTTCAGTTTCCTTTTATTTGCTCTATCATAAACGATTGCAATAAAGTTAAATTTCGAATTTTATCAAATTTAAATATTCTAATTTATTGCTTGATTTTTTTTATATCGAGATTTATAATATATCTGCTTCTTAATATTAAGCATTCATAGAAATCAAAATTCAAAATGCATCAATTTACCGGAAACTTTCCAGAAATATTATAATCCGCAGCAGTTCCCAAAAGGCCATCCATGTAGCACACAGCAACATCTGATCCAATCATCTGAGAACTATTTTCAGACCCGCTGATACCAAGGGCCATGTACTCATCTTCAGCTAAAAGATGACAAAAAAGTATGTAAATTCTACTGCCCTAATTTATGTGTTTTTATGTATTAAAATATGCTTAACAAATTTTAAGAACTCAAAATTTTCCATAAGCTAAATAGTAGGTTGGCTATATGTAACAATAAATTATTCAGCTAAATATTTAAACAAGATGTTTACCTATTTGTCCGGCAAGCTCAAATGTAATAGCAGGACCGAATATTTCCCAACTTAATCTGAAGTCTCTATGCAACTGCTCGCAGTTTGGCAACGGAGATTCTACTTCCTGTAAAAAAACAAGATTTAATTCAATACCAGACAATCAAGAAATAACTATTACTTTTTTAATAGGGGAAGTTCAACCCAAATATAGTTGTTATAAATAGACATATTCAAGAGCCTGAATATGTCTATTTATAACAACTATACCGGCTCTTTTTTTCAGCAGAATAATGTAGCATATAAAAACTAAACAAAAATATGCTTATTATACAGCTTGTTTGCAGTAAAAATGGTGTCAAAAACATGAAAAACAAAACGGCGTGTGTTCCGTTTTTTTCTTTTTTTTTCCGACAGAACTTTCAATTGTGAAGGCTGTACGGCTGTATAAAGCTGCACCTAAAAATTTCAAGCAGGGATGCGGAATTAAATTTATTTTGATTGCATTTATATTATTTTTAATAAAAATACGTAGAAATTTTTCAATAATTGATTTTTCAAGGAATGGAACGGTTTTAACTGAGGCGTAGCTAGGGTTTACACAGCCCAGGGACAAACTCAGTTTTTGCCTTATGGTGCGAGACTTGTAGGGATCTTTTCCGGCACTTGACATTTGACTGTAAAATGTTACATGAGTAAGGTTTCTCAACAAAAAATAAAGCACTTTTTTTTTAAAACAACGTAACTTGATAACTTACTTTTCGATTCAGTTTAAAATTTAACAGTGTTTGTTCCTAATGTATAGTTTCAATTCTACACTTAGATATTTCTGACTGCGTTCAACGTGTTTTATTGATTGATTAGCATTTATTCTATAAGCATTTTTCATTAAATACATTTTATTTTGTTTCATAAACGTCGTTGAACAGCCAAGTCCATTTTGAGTTTACGTCTACCAACATTCAACTATGTAGTCTTGTAATTTTGAACTCAATCCAGAAGACAAGAGAACTCCTGGATGAAGTAATGGGGGAAATTTAGTCTTCGAGCGAGACTTCTTGATGAAACTAAACCGCATTTGCGCGATGAGCGAAGAACCTCAAAAGCCTTCCACAGTTATTTTGACGGCAAGGGAACTCTAACCCATGATCCGTTTACCACTAATGATATTTTACGTCAGCACTGTGGTCGGTGTGAGCCGTGTGCAGAAATCGTATCAACCAGCCATAGCTGGTATTCGAACCTGGTTCACGTCATTAGGAGGCGAACGTTTTATCCCCTGAGCTACCACATCTCTCATTCAATATATGTAAATAATTTTAAAAAAACTTTGGGTAAAACAAACTACAATGATAATAATTGAGAGAGATCCATGGTAGGAGATAGAGTACTTGTCTCCTTTCTGCAGTGAACCGGGTGACAAACATGTGTAAAGAAAATAGTGAAATTATACATACTATTATATGTATGAGTGATGGAGGAATGTTCAATTTATCTGGAATAACTGTGGATCCATAATTTTCTTGAGTTCTTATGTTGTAGATGCTTAACCAATCAACATCATCCATGGTCATTTTACCTGGCAGCAGGAGGTGGACATCTTTTCCCGAGTAAGGTGTCAGACCATTTAAACTAAACAAATGTAAGTATATTAAGATGACACACATTTAATAGTGTTTTTCCAACAATTCAAGGATTATTATTTTATTAAAAACCATACTAAATGAAAAGCTTAGGAAGTTCTGAGTGAAATTTTTGAAAAAAATTCAAATTTCTTGGAAGATTTCATTTCAATTTTATTAAGCTTTAAAACATTACATTAATTTTAATATGCATCATAGTTTTAATGGATAAAGGTACTGTTGCAAGTTAAGAATAAACCATTTTCTCTAATGGAGAGAGCCTGTTTGCATCTAAGTGCACGCTAAATGGATGCCAAGCTCCAAGCGCGAATGAATCTCAACATCGCAAACTCTTAAAACGACGTAACATTGCCTTTTTGCTTATAAAAAATAGCATGAATTAAATTTCTGCCCGACAAGTTTAGCTTTTAAAAGCTTTTATATTGCTTTGAATGCATAATTATATAATCTGATAGCTAAATGAAACAGGACTATATACAGTCGCGAACGATTATCTGAATCCTATACCTTAATTGTCTTTTAACTTGCAGCAGAATATTAGTGACAATTGTAGTGTCTTCGGGGTCGAAGAAGGCTCCAAACGCTTTTAACAATAAATAGTAGACGAGTGTTGATTTGAGGTTAATTTATGAAACCTGTCGTCACGGGAAAAAGACGCTATTTTTACGAATATAGCAATTTTCATAACTGATGCGAGTTTAAAACAATTATTCACGACTGTTAGGTTAAGTTAAGCCTATCTTTAGCTAGCATCCTTTATGCTAATTTTGAAAACGGCGCAAAGCGTCAATACGAAGAAAAGTCAAAGTTCTGTAAAAAATAAATAATCTAGCTTTTTATACTTCAAAAGGTATTCCAAAGCTGTATTATCTAAACCTATAAAAAATTTTAAAAAATTGAGAATTATTCAAAGTTTTAACTGTTTTCAATTAGGTGAAAAAGTCTAAGAAACTACGAAAATTTTAATTTCTTAAAATAATTAAGTTATTGTCCGTTCTAAAGCCTATTGATACTTTAAGGCAAGATGGTATGCGTAGTTTAAAACTGTAGCCTTGCCTCAGGAGAAAAGCACCTAAATTGTGACTTATTTTCCTTAACGAATTATAGCTTCGAAGGCAGTAAATTGCTCGTTTGGCAGTAAATTGCTCCATTTGGCAGTAAATTGAAAAGGCAATAATAATAGGAATAAAAGACAAGCGTAGATATCGCCAAATGAAAAGCTTGCAGACAAGACAACGTATAGTCTTCATTTATTCCACCTGTTAGCTTATGAACCTTAAAGCTAATTTACTCAAATTAGCAGAAATGTTACTTACACCCTTCATCCACTCAGCTCAAATACGTTTGTTTACCTAACTTTAAGAAAATTTAACCAAGAGAAAAAGTTCTACAAAAATAATAAGTCACTTACTATCCATTTTCATCCGGTACCTTAGTTCCAAAAGGTGTTGGTTGAGGGCCAACGCCAACCCAGAAAAATACATCTGAAAAACATCCGAAATTATGAAATTATATGGTAATGTAATCTGCTAAAATAAAAATCAAGAATTTATTCTTTTAAAGGGCCTGTACATGTTTCAAAACCAAAACAAATAGACACAATATTATTTTAACTCTATTCCTTTTCTTATTGTCATGACATAAGAAATCGTTTGGTTTAAGTAACCCACTTTTTCTAATTATATATTCGAAAAAGAACAGATATATATGCGCCCGCAACGTAGGGGAAGAGCGGGCAAGATGGATCGCTTAAGGAAACTTGGTTCAAAAAATAGTAAACTAGAGAAATTTTATCTCTTTTACATTGTAAACAAATATAGTGGGAACATTGCTCTTACATATCACATACAGAAAATAAATAAATAATAAAGTTCAATAATAATAACTTAACTTAAACGAAAATAGAAGATTGTCCCATCTTGCCCGGGCTACCCGGGCAAGATGGGACACATAATTATACTTCAAAAACCACTGAAATTAATGTCAGAATAAGAGAATAATCGACAAAAAAAAACGTTCCTGAATATCACAGTTACTGCGTAAGAAGCGGCCAAAACCGGAATAAGCTATGCAAGCTTCATGAGCCCATTCTAAGCAATCTGAATATTGTCTGTCAATTAATTAATTATAAATTATTTTTAAAATTTTTTTAAAATGATTTGTTAAGTAATATTTGCTAGTTCATATTTATTTTTGATAATATTACCTTATTTTTTATGCTTTTTGCCAAATCTGGAGAGTTTAATTTTTATATTACACTTTTAGTCTGCTTTGGCCGTCCCATCTTGCCCGGCCCATCTTGCCCGGATACTACATTTTTTAAAAAAGATATCCGCAAATTTGTCAAAATAAATAAATTTTAATTTACACTACTCATTATGTTTGTACAGTAATAACACTACATGGCCACAAATTTGAAAAATTTGTCACAATGTATTAAACAAATAATATCAGCATACAAATCAGGAAAAATATTTTACCACGATATAAGAGAAACAAAACAATGCTTGCACTTATGCAACACCTTGTGAACTGACGAAAAAACTTGTGCATATTGAGAACAACAATATTTTCTTTCCGAAAACGCACTTTAGATGCCGCTATCGTGATGCGCATGGAAAAAAAAAAGCGATGTCCCGTCTTGCCCTACCTTCCGCTACACTATGTACAAAGGCCCGCTTGACCTGATGGAGCTTTAGTTAGTGTATTTCAGATTCAAACAAATGCATATTTTGGTTATTAAAAAGTATAGTATATTAATAAAGATACGTTCCTACAAGAAAAAATTAAAATATGTTATCATGGTAACAAGGCTTACCTGAGTCATTGCCATTATATTGAAGATTGAGAATTGTGATGGTTTTGGAATCCTGGACGACTACGCCCTCGCACTGTACGCCGTGAGAATTTCTGCTCAGTTCCGATATCATCTGCGGAGAAGGTGCTTCGAGACCCTCCGGAATATACACATCCGCCAAATTGTTCTAAAACAAAGAATAAATCATGGATTATATATCATGAACAGAACTAGAGTGCGTTTTTGTGTNAATGAAATAATGAAGAATTATTAACTAAGTAATCTAATTTTAAAAGGTCGTAACCTGTTAGATTTCTGGAAAAATATGTATTGTAAGCAAACGTATGTAAAGTAATTCTATAGGCACCTGTTGATGTATTAATGAAAACAAATATAGACTAATAAAATACCTATTGATCAATAATTGCTAAGTTTTACTGGTGTCAATAAAAATCTGTAGATATCAGTTCATACATTGATAAAACAAGTAGAATACCTAACTGATCAACATCTATTGATACAAGTACCCTACTGATGTCAGTAGTCATCAGTTGAAGTGTGAAATACAGACAAGTATATACCAATAGAGTACCTACTGATCAATATCCATTGATACCAATACACTGCTGATATCAGTTGAAATGTCAATGGGAACAAGTACAGACCAATAGAATTCTATTGATCAATATCTATTGATACCAGTACACTACTGATATCAGTTGAAATGTCAATAGGAACAAGTACAGACCAATAGAATACCCTACTGTTCAACATCTATTGATGCCAATACACTACTGATATCAGTTGACATCAGTTGAAATATCAATAGAAACAAGTACAGACCAATAGAATTCTATTGATATCAATGAATGTTTTTATTGGTTTCTATTGGTCATTTTTTGTAGGGTACCGACTCTTTTTTCAGCAGAATAATGTAGCATATGAAAACTTTGTTTCCAGTAAAAATGGTTTCAAACACATGCAAAACAAAATGGCGCTTGTAGAGCTTTTTTTCGATGAATATATAATTTTGAAGAGTACGGCTGCATAAAGTCGAACCTAGAATTTTCAAGCAGGGATGAGGAACGAAATTTATTTTGATTGCATATATATTATTTTTATAAAAGTGCGTAGGAATTTTTCTGTAACTGATTTTTCAAAGAATGGAATTTTTTTAACGGAGGCGTAGTTTTACACAGCCCAGGGACAAAGTCAGTTTTTACACCCCTTTGCTTTATGGTGTGAGACTTATATGGACCTTTTCGGGCATTTGGCATTAGATTGTAAAATGTTATATGAGTAAGGTTTCTCAACATAAAATAAAGCACTTCTTTTAAAACAGCGTGACTTTATAACTTAATTTTCGATTCAGTATAAAAATTAACGGTGTATGTTACTAATGTATAGTTTCAATTCTATATTTTTGTTGGCGTTTAACGTGTTTTATTGATTGATAAGCATTTATTATATGATCATTTTTCATTAAATACATTTTATTTTATTTTATAAACGCCATTGAACAGCCGAGTTCATTTTGAATTTACGTCTACCAATATTCATCAATGTGGCCTTGTAATTTTGAACCAAATCCAAACGACAAAGGATCTGCAAGATCAAGTTATGGGGGAAATTTCGCCTTCGTGCAAGACTTTTTGATGGAACTAAACCACATTTGCGTGATGAGAGAAAAAACTTCGAAAACCAGCCACGGTTATTCTAACTACAAGAGGAGTGTAACCCATGATCAGTCTACCACTGAGGATATTTTGCGTCAGCACTGTGGTCGGTGCAAGCCATGTGTGGAATTCGTATCAACCAGAAGTAGCTGGTATTCGAGCCCGGTTCACGTCATTAAAAGGCGAACGCTTTATACCAAGAGCTTCGCCTTCCAATGAGGCGAACCGGGTTTGAATCCCAGTCGATACGAATTCCGCACCCGGCTTGCTCCTACCACAGTGGCTGACGTGAAATATACTCAGTGGTAGACGAATGATTGGTTTGATTACCCTTGCCGTCAGGCTAATCGCGGGAGGTTCTCGTGGTCTTCCTCTCCATGCAACGCAAATGCGGGTTAGCTCCATCAAAAAAGTCCTTCACAAAGGCAAAATTTCTCCCAATACTCGATCCAGGAGTTCCCTTGTCTTCTGGATTAGGCTCAAAATTATAAGGTTACGGATTTGAACATTAGTAGTCGTAAACACATAAAATTGGGTCTACTGTTCAACGATGGTTATAAAATGGTATTTCTGCGGATCATCCTTATATAGAGTATATAGAGATCCATGGTAGGAGATAGAGTACTTGTCTCCTTCTGCAGTGAACCGGGTGACAAACATGTGTAAAGAAAATAGTGAAATTACACATACTATTATATGTATGAGTGATGGAGGAATGTTCAATTTATCTGGAATAACTGTGGATCCATAATTTTCTTGAGTTCTTATGTTGTAGATGCTTAACCAATCAACATCATCCATGGTCATTTTACCTGGCAGCAGGAGGTGGACATCTTTTCCAGAGTAAGGTGTCAGACCATTTAAACTAAAAGAAAAAAAGTAAGAATATCAAGATGACGCACATATAAAAAATGTTTTCCGACCAATCAAGGATTACCATTTTATTAAAAACCATACTAAGTGAAAAGCTTAGTGAAAGAAAGTTCTAAGTGAAATTTTGAAAAAAATCACATTTCTTGGGGAATTTCATTTTAATTTGATTAAACTTTTAAAAATTTCATTGATTTTAATAAGTATCACAGATTTTGATGGATAAAGGTACTCTGTTTGCAAGTTAGAAGAAACAATTATCCCTATGGAGAAAACCTGTTTGCATCTAAGTGCCCGCTAAATGGATGCTAGGCTCCAAGCACGAATGAATATCAACATCGCCAACACGACGCTGCTTATAAAAAATAGCCCGAATTAAGTTTCCGTCTGACAAGTTTAACTTTTAAAAGTTTTTATATTGTTTTGAAAGCATAATTATATAATTTTATAGTTGAATATAACGGATTTTAGCCGCGAATGATTACTTAAATCCTATACCGCAATGGTCTTTTAACTTGCAGCGAAGTATTAGTGACAATTGGAATATCTCCGAAGTGGAAGAAGGCTCCAAACACTTTTGACAATAAGTAGTAGACGAGTTAACTGGAGGTTGTAATATGAAAACTCTGTCATCACATAAAAAACGCTTTTTTACCAATAAAATAGCGATTTACATAACCGATGTGAGTTAAAAACAATTATTCATGACTGCTAAATCAAGTTAAGCCTATCTAAAGCCAGCACCCTTTATGCTAATTTTGAAAATGGCGCAAAGCGTCAATATGAAGAAAAGTCTCAGTTTTGTAAAAATAAAAAAGCGTTAATCTAATTTTTTTTATTTTTCAAAAGTTACTCCAACGCTGTGTTATCTGGGCTCAAAAAATTTTGCAAAAACTGAGAATTATTCATTGATTTTGACAATTTTTAATTAGAAGAAAAATTGTCTAAAAAATTACGAAAATTTTAATAACTTTTTAAAATATTTAAGTTATTGTGCTTTAAGTCCAATAAGACTTTAAGGCAAGATGGTATATGTAGTTTAAAACTAGCCTTGCCTCAGGTGTAAGGCACTTAAATTGTGACTTTTTTTCCCCCCTTAACGAAATATAGCTTCGAAAAACACCACTGAAAATTCTCATTTGGCAGTAAATTGCTCCATTTGGCAACAAATGGAAAAGGCAAGAATAATAGAACATGAACAGTCTGAACAAGCGCAGATTTCGCCAAATAAAAGCCTGCAGACAAGACAACGTATAATCTTCATTTATTCCACCTGTTAGCTTATGAACCTTAAAGCTAATTTACTTAAATTGGCAGAAATGTTACTTAGACCCTTCATCCACTCAGCTCAAGTACGTTCGTTTACCTAACTTTAAAAAAAAATTAACCAAGAGATAAAGTTGTACAAAAATAATAAATCACTTACTATCCATTTTCATCCGGTACCTTAGTTCCAAAAGGTGTTGGTTGAGGGCCTACGCCAACCCAGAAAAACACATCTAAAAAACATTATGGAATTAGATGGTTAAGGGAAACAGCGAAGAGAAAAATCAAGAATTCATTCTTTTAAAGGCCTATGCAGGTTTCAAAACCAAAACAAATGGAGACAATATTATTTTAATTCTTTGACTGCGTCCCTCCCGTCTTTTGTGTGACCTTCCCATCAAATCACGATGAGTCATTCGTAATCAAGTCACGCTTAATAATAAAGTATCTTCGAAAATATTCCAACAGATATTCGACAGTGTGTAATTATTGAATTAAAACAAAAATGGCTTATCAAAAGAAAACCATTTTGAGTGCAAAACATTAAAACATCTATGCAAAGCTGAGGTTGGTCAGGACATTTTGGACAAAAAATTTTCTTCATATTCCCTTGTTACTTTAATCACATCTTTTATTTCAATAAAATCGTTTGCACGCGCTTTAAATGCTGACTTCGTCTAACAAGCCTTGGCTGCAATTGCAGCAAACCATATAATTTTGTAGCTATCAAATCTTCTGATATTTACTGTTTCTCTCACAATTTTGGGAAACTCTGAAAAGTTCGCAAATAACATTCTATGGTAGAAGTTGAATAACAAGTTTTTCATGCCACTCTCTTCCTTTTCTTATTGTCATGACATAAGAAATCGTTTGGTTTAAGTAACCCACTTTTTCTAATTATATATTCGAAAAAGAACAGATATATATGAGCCCGCAACGTAGGGGAAGAGCGGGCAAGATGGATCGCTTAAGGAAACTTGGTTCAAAAAATAGTAAACTAGAGCAATTTTATATCTTTTATATTGTAAACAAATATAGTGGGAACATTGCTCTTACATATCACATACAGAAAATAAATAAATAATAAAGTTCAATAATAATAACTTAACTTAAACAAAAATAGAAGATTGTCCCATCTTGCCCGGGCTACCCGGGCAAGATGGGACACATAATTATACTTCAAAAACCACTGAAATTAATGTCAGAATAACAGAATAATCGACAAAAAAAAACGTTCCTGAACATCACAGTTACTGCATAAGAAGCGGCCAAAACCGGAATAAGCACTGCAAGCTTCATGAGCCCATTCTAAGCAATCTGAATATTGTCTGTCAATTAATTATAAATTATTTTTATAATTTTTTTTAAATGATTTGTTAAGTAATATTTGCTAGTTCATATTTATTTTTGATAATATTACCTTATTTTTTATGCTTTTTGCCAAATCCGGAGAGTTTAATTTTTATATTACACTTTTAGTCTGCTTTGGTCGTCCCATCTTGCCCGGATACTACATTTTTTAAAAAAAGACAATCCGCAAATTTGTCAAAAAAAATAAATTTTAATTTACACTACTCATTATGTTTGTACAGTAATAACACTACATGGCCACAAATTTGAAAAATTTGTCGCAATGTATTAAACAAATAATATCAGCATACAAATCAGGAAAAATATTTTACCACGATATAAGAAAAACAAAACAATGCTTGCATTTCGGCAACACCTTGTGAACTAACGAAAAAACTTGTGCATATTGAGAACAACAATATTTTTTTTAAAAAAAGCCCGCTTGACCTGACGGAGCTTTAGTTAGTGTATTTTAGATTCAAATAAATGCATATTTTGTTTATTGAAAAGTATAGTATACAAATAAAGATACGTTACTACAAGAAAAAAATAAAATATGTTGTCATGGTAACGAGGCTTACCTGAGTCATTGCCATTATATTGAAGATTGAGAATTGTGATGGTTTTGGAATCCTGGACGACTACGCCCTCGCACTGTACGCCGTGAGAATTTCTGCTCAGTTCCGATATCATCTGCGGAGAAGGTGCTTCGAGACCCTCCGGAATATACACATCCGCCAAATTGTTCTAAAACAAAGAATAAATCATGGATTATATATCATGAACAGAACTAGAGTGCGTTTTTGTGTGTCATGAAGTATCAAACAGGAAGAGCAAATTATTCTGAAGAACTTTGAACATTTAGTTAAATAATTTAATTTTTTATTACGCTTAATTTTGCGAAGTGTTTTTAAGAAATAGTATACAAGCATGTTGGAGCGACGCTCTGACAAAAGTCCTATTATATAAGAATTTAATAACAAGATAGAGAACCATAACTCTTTGGGGTCCAATCGAGATTACCTAATGTGTCCTCCAGCTCTTTTATGATAGTGTATAAATTTTCCAAACTCTCGATTAATCAAGATCAGATTGAAATACAAATTTTATTTTTGCACATTAGTGCCCATGATTCTTTTTCACGGGCGCTTCGACAACGCATATTTCAATAAATAAATTTGATAGAATTTTTTATGAATATTTCGTTATATTAGACCAGGGATGGGGAAACTACGGCCCGCGGGCCAACTGTGGCCCGCCGGAAGATTTTATCCGGCCCGCAGACAAAATTTTAACTAGCCGATCAGTTGCGAATATATCTACTTTGTTTAAAACTATTTTTGTTGATTTCTTTTTTAACGAAGTACTGATGACCTTTTCACTTTCGCTATTTTTGTTCTACAAAACATAAATTAATTAAAATAGTTAGCACAAACAGCTTTAACTGGTAAAATGTTGAAAGCAAAAGTTCTTTATAGAATAGCTGTAGATTAGCTCCAACTAGTATTTGTCTTTCTCGAGGAGCAGACATATGGAATCTAATATAGGTGAATTGTACTTCACATGAGGCAGACTACACATTTTTAAGTTCCAACGAGCGGATTTTTCTGCCGGGGCGAGTTCTAACATTATTTACTGCGTATGGAAAGATTGCACACATACAACGTCATTGTAAATAATGGTGAAATTATTAAATGTATAAAATGGCTACTGCCTTTTTGAGTTATTTGTAAACATTTTTTATCCCAAAATGGCAACTAAAAACGCAAAGTTGATGTGGAGTGACGTGCACTTAATGATAAATTGACTTTATTTTATTTCAGAAGTTTTTACTCGGCCCACCAAACTTTTTTTTTTCTAGATTTTTGGCCCACGACCCAAAAAGTTTGCCCATCCCTGTATTAGACCTTTAATGCATTTTTAGAAATTTTATATTGCTTCCCTAAATTCAAAGGAGTTTTAAGCATTGTGAAATTTAAAAAAAAAAATTCTGGTACCAGAACTAATTAGAACCAGAACCAGGTTAATGTTCTAGTTGATTTCACAGTATTTATTATACATTTCAATATATATATCTATTAAGCATAGTTCTACAAAATCGCGATTAAGGGATAAATGAATTAATGCTGACTTCATTGCCACCTTTATGTTTGACGGTCACGAAAATAACTGCCTTAACCTCCATGACCTTAACTTTTTTTATAGACACCGCAGTAAGGAAAATTGTAATACTGCCTCGCAAAATTCGACATTTTGCTGGGGAAAATACAATAATTCGAACAAAGTTTAAAATCAAATATTTTTATTGCAACATGTCGCAGATTAATTTTTAAAGATGTTGTGCTTCCTTAGTCAAGAATATGTTTTTGAAATAAAACATGGACATTGAAATAGGATTTTTTCACCTTAAAAAGTGAAAGGGGCCACTTCATTCACCAGACTTTAATCCAAAAAAATTTATCTACTTGGTTTATCTTGGAGGCAAGGATATGTGCTAAACCTCATAATTTGGCCCATTCCTAAAATCTCCCTTGTATAAGGAATGGAGCAAAATAAGAGTTTATGGCAGAACATTTTGTCTCACCTTTACAACTCTGCATTTAGGTCAATGAAGGGAATTACTTTGAAAATTGTGAACTATGTTACCCGTTGTAATGTTAAGTTGAAAATTTATTTTATATATTTTAGTAAGCATTAAATATGTAACTCTGTAGTTAAATTAGATCTGCGATATTTAATTTCTTTTAGCATCTTTTCCAATTAACAATGAGCTTTAATAATCTCTAACATAAATGTCAAAAATTCTATTTTCTTTTTTGCAATAAAATTATTCTTAGATTGAAATTCAAATATTTCTTATATTTTGATATAAATATTATATAGTTTGAGTTGAAGTTTACAGTAAATAAGCCACCTGGATTTGACTGCATAATCATACTTTTATTTGTTCAAGAAATTAAGTAAAGTTATTCTTTTAGTAATTGGCAACTTACATGATCCCTGAGATCCCAAACAGCCAGCCATTTGACGGTAGACAACTTCCTGTTATCAGGCAGCCGCAAAGTGACATCAGCATTTACGTATCTTTGAAGCCTATTGGTTCTATAAAACATTTCAACAAGTACTTAATAAAATTTGATGGAACATTTGACAGTATAGTGGTACTTATTGATTGATTTATAAGTATATAGAGATCTCCCGTAAGACAAATTATTTGAAGTTATTGACAAAAATCAAGTACTGTTTCAATTTACTGGAAAAATAATTTAGAAATTACAACTTCAAGAAAAATCACAAGTGGACAAATTAATTTTGGTTCAGAAACTAAAACCACAGGCTTGGGTGTGACTCGTGATAATTTTAATCCCACATACACCTGAAAACAATACCCTATAAAGGATATAAAATATCAAAACTATAGTGCTTAAAGCTTCTCCAACGCTTTGCAGTGATTTTATACGACTTTAATTAAATCACTGCTCTTCAATACGTTATAGCAGTTCGAAATCTCACAATTTACGATTGACATCAATATATCATAATTAATTAGTAATAGTTCAAATTATAGTTCAACTATAAACAAATCATAGCTCAACTGTTAACATATCATAGCTCAACTGTTAACATATCATAGTTCAACAATTAACAAATTATAGTTAAAGAACAATCTACAATTAGCCGACCGCGTGTATAGTGTCAAAGAGCTATCCTAAATTCAGAAAAATCCCGGGTTTGAATACCGTGGCGGGCATGGATGCAATTTCGCTCTCTCTCTCTCTCTCTGTTCTGTCTTTCTTATATTGTCAGGGTTATGATGATCCACTTGTATGGTGCGCAGAAAAAGTAGAATAACTATACCGCACTTAAAGTACCACGACGGCACGTAGTTGATAAATGTTGTGGTTATTTTTCCAATAAAAAAGTACAAATTTCTGTCTACTATTGAAAAATTATAGTTCAAGTATTAACAAATCATAGTCTACAATATTACAATCAAATACTACAAAATTACAATCTTACAAGTTATATTCTACTATTAACAAATTATTGCCTCTTATTATAAAGTTAACGAATTGCCTAGCGATTTATATTCACGAAACATTTTGGCCATCATAAGGAATCATGTAATCTAATGTCTTGAACTGACGATCACGTTAAGAATTAGCGATGTAACAATACTCGAATGTACTTTGTTAACAGTTACTTTGTGCATATTTTAATTAAAACAAAATTTTTTTTAATTTTACTAATTTTAATTTAATATTTTCATTTGATATTTTTATTTAATTTAATCATTAGCATCTTATCGAGATGTGTTTATATGATAGATAGAAAAGTTGTCGAATAATTCCATGCTCCGAATAATTTAATGTATCAGAAAATAAAGTTTTGGGTGATAAATAACCACAGTTTAAAGGAAGTTCAGAAACATCAATAACTATAAATAACAAGAGAAAGTACAAAATTTCCTAACGAAATTACCATCGTGCAACAAAGCATTGAAAATCTGAGTGGATAAAGAGTTTGAATGAATTAACGCTGTTTTTATGTAGACAAATAAAGAGCATGCGTCATCTTTAATTTACATCTCCAAGGTTACAATTGGCGAAGTAAATATATCTCCAATATTCATTTGAATTCTTCGTGTTGTAGCATTTGCACTCTTCGTGGTGTCTTAATTTGCTATCAAAAGACGGATTCTTAAAGTTTCTTAGTAACTACCTGTTTCCAAATGCACTTGGAACTTTCTTCCACTCCAGAAACACTCAAAGATCAATATCATTAAGTATCTTCAATCATAGAAACCCACAAAATTAAAAAAACTTGAAAAAAATTGCTAAAACTCGAATTTCCCTGAGTAACCTTCATTTTTTCAAAAATGTCAATTAGAGCCTTCATGCACTCAATTCTTCAATTATGATAAGAATAAAAACATACTTACTTTCCTTCTTCGTCGGGCACAATAAATCCTATATTACTTGGTCTCACTGTTGCTCCAGCCCAGAAGAATGTATCTGAAAAAAAATCAATTTCATTAAACACTCGGCGCAGCAATAACATTTATAATTCATCACTAAAAAAATTTAAGGTCACGAGAGATTAAGACCCGTATTTAGTTTACGGTAAAGTTAACAATGATAGGGATAGACATGAAACCTGTTGGCTGTCAAACAAAACAGTCGAAATACGAAGCTCGATGCAAAATAACAGTTTTAGATAAAAATTCCACATCACGGGAAATTGAACCCACATTTAGTTTACGTTAAAGCTAACAATGATAGGGATAGAAATGAAACCTGTTGGCTGTCAAACAAAACACTCGAAATACATAGCTCAACGCAAATTAAAAGTTTTACATAAAAATTTAGTTGTTTGAGACAAAGATAAGAGCTTTAGAATAAGGGTGAGCATGTCTGAATGCAATCAGTGTTGTTGAAAATTGTTTCAAAACAGTTACGAGCCTCCATTTTTTTTTCCAAAATCCTCAAATCAAATTCAAACGCGAAAATGAGAGAATTTTGTCTTATGTATAAGCAGGATTTTGAATCCAAACATCAAGTAAATATTTAATGTTCTAAACAGCGTGAAAAGTTTTTAAAACTGCCCTAGCCTTTACCTTGTCCTAGTCCATCGTAAAAGAAATTTCTAATGAGAAGCGTGTACTCGTCGACTGCATAGACTTGACCAGAAACTTGATGAGCGTAAGTGTTTAGTTTCCCTAAAGGCAGACCAATGTATGCCTCATCAGCCAACACCAGGACCAATTCTAAAAAAGAGAAATATAAAGTTATAATTCATTAACCAGCTGGATATCCGTTCTTCGTAAGAGGTGAATAAAGTATTAATACTACAAAATCATGCACAAAACTGAAAGACACATACAGACGCTATTAAAAATATTTTTTATTTTTATTTTTGTTAATTTTTGTGTTATCAGATACAGCAGCAAATCATGCTTTTAGAAATTTATTCATTTAAAATAACTATATTCAATATCATTTGCTACTGCTCGAGATGAATTCCTGATAATCAAAAATTACCATAGTTAACAATTTTCTCCTATTCATATCCCTTTCGGTAGGCTGTAAAAATCTATTTCTACAGAGGTATATTAGCACCGATGATAGTACATTTAGTATTTATTAAACACCGAAATAATAGTAGTACCTGTTAATTAAGCTATTAAGCATTATTGGCATCAATAAAAGCAAGACAAAATTTCATGGTTAGATCATTCATATTAAAAAATAAAATATTTATTAAATGCTATGGATTTGATTAAAAAAAAATTAACTACAATAAGTAGGAAGCAGAGCACGAACGGAATGCCGGAGAAAGCTCTCGATAAATGTACCCCCGAGTTCCCTTTTCATTTTTGTGCTATTATATTTTAAAAAACTTTTATCGATCCTTGACGAATCAGCACATATCACAGATCTTCCACAATAGGCAGTTTTCATACTTTTGTTTCACCTGACTTTGTTGTTAAAGAAGAATTATTAGATTTAGTAGCACTTCAATAGTCAACCCGCGGTGTCTATATTAAAAATGCATTAGATTCCATAATGAAAACTTATGTACCTCTTAATAAACTTGTAAGCATTGCAACTGATGGAGCTCCGGAAATAATGGGTAAAAAAATCGGTCTTATTGGGATTTTAAGAGATGATTCTCAAATTCCACAGTTCATACCGATTTACTGCATAATTCACCGTGAACATTTCGTTACAAAATCTTTAAAGTATCCTGGTGTTACGAAAACAGTGTTACACATTGTAAATTACATTCACACCAATGCAAGAAATCATCAACAATTCAAAAATTTCCTTAAAGAATTAAAGAACTTCCAAATGACATTAATTTCTCTTGCATTGTTAGATGGTTATCTAGCTACAACGTATTAAATTGTTTTGTAGATTTGTTTGATCCGATAACTGCATTTCTAAAAGAAAAGGATATAACCTATTCGGAATTAGGCGATGATGAGTGGTTACAAGACTTATTGTTTTTAACTGATGTCATGGAACATTTACAAACACTGAATTTACAATTGCAGGGGAAAGATAAAATAATATTTGACCTCTTACAGTGTATGTTTAGTTTTTAAACTAAATTACAACTTTTTTAAAAGAACATTAAAAATAAAACATTGTCATTTTCCTCGAAGTAAAAAAATTTATTCCAATATTAAACAAGAAAAACTCAACGAGTATATAAAAATGGTAGAAGGAATATTGACGGAATTCCAAAATAGATTTCAAGACTTGAAATATTTTAAATCGACTCTTGATTTTTTTCTGAATCCATTTGAAATTAACATAATTCAAGGTGAGTTTTCCATTTCCAATATGATTATGACCCAAAAAGCATCTGGAGAATTAGAATTAATAGAGATGAACGAAGATCAAGCTCTACAATTAAAATATAAGTCGACGTCGATTACTGAATTTTGGAAATTTGTACCAGAATCGAAGTATTCTGAATTAAAAAAGGCTGCTTGTCGAATTATTTCAATATTCGGAACAGCGTACTTATATGAATCATTTTATTTCACTTTAAAATTCGTGAAATCCAAGCACCGATCAGTATTAACTAACAGTATCTCAAAAATTACTGAGAAGTACTGTCACCAATTATTCACCAAATTTTAAGAAACGTCAAGAAAAGTAAAATAAATGTGTTTAATTTTTAATATTTAAATTCAATACCCATATTTTGTACTTTTATTTATATGTTTTCAATAAATATCATTTCTGCAAAAAAAAATTTTTTTCATACCTTTTTTACCTACCTTTTAAATACGTATTTAATTGTGGCTCGTGAAAAATTTCAAAATTTGAAAAATGGCTCGACTATCAAGGAGCTTGGCCATCCCTGGTCTATAATGACTGTTCACCAAATAACGTGCGGGTTTGTTCAGAATTGCAAATTTGTATAAGCTACATACACACATACATATAAGCATTTGGTTTATATAGATTAGTTCCTTACAGCTTGTCCATGTACTGCATTTCTGAAAATTCATAACAAGTTTTTTTTTCGAAGGATTTTTTCTATTTTTTAATTTGCGAATGAAAAAAAATAGCCACAGTCTCAATGTTTCAGTTAAACTCTAAGCAAACATTTAATTGAAAACTGTATCAAACTTGGAAGAATTCACTTTAAAACGAACAGTTTAAATGTTTGAAAAATTATTAAACCTACTAAGATTGGCGACACTTTCCACCTAAACCTCAAATTTAGCGAGATTTCCCAGCTAAGAGGGAAAAATTCCGCAACTAAAAATCTAGTATTAGAGCTATAATTTTAAACTATGCATGTATTACAATCTTATCGCAAATATAATTTCTGGGTTTTGGAACAGGCTAATCATTTTATTATTTTAAAAAATATATACATTAAATTTTTTAACAGTCGCCAATTTTCGTAATTTTTTTCTTATCTAATTTTTTTTCCGCAAAATTATTGAGATTAATTAATAATCTTTCATTTTTTGAAAATTTTTGTGACCTGAGATATTGCAGAGTTTAAATAATTTTTTAAATTATTAATGAATTAGATCACAATTGATTTTCATTTTAACAAAACTGTAGCTTTCTTTGAAGTTGATATTTAGCATTGTCTACATAGCATAGAAGCATAAAAATTTAATCTAGCAGTCGAAAGTAATAGTTAGGTTATGTGAGTTAATCATGAATTCCTGACAGCAATTTTTCAGAGAAATAGCACAATATTCGCGAAAAGAAATTATTTGATGTAACGACGACTTTCGAAAAACAAACTTAAAATCCACAAATAACTCATTTTTCACATATATTTTTAAGTTCAGACAATGCAGTGTTCGATTTACTTTGCAAAATTTAAAAATCTTTTTACAAATGCATAATTGCCAGTTTTCTTACATGTAGAAAACAAATCATAGGATAAAATCCCTTGCCGTTGGGCTAACCGTGGGAGGTTTTGTGATTTTCCTCTCTTCCTATCGCAAATGCGGGATAGTTTCATCAAAAAGCCCTCCACGAAACCTAATTAGTCAAGTGCTTGAGTCAGAAGTTCCTTTGTCTTCTGGATTGAGTTAAAAAATTGCAAGGCACAAAGATAGCCGTGAACTCAGAATTGGATCAGTTTTCAACGCCGGTTATAAAATGAAGTATTATAGCTTATATGAAACCATGGTGCTACAAAAAACTCTCTCTCAAACAATTTAAAAATATGGCTTGTTCTAAAATTGTTCTAAAATTGTAAAATTGTTGTAAAATTGTTGTAAAATTGTTCTAAACTGTTCAATAAGATTATTACCATGAAGTCAGAAATAAAACTCGAAGATGTTATAAGACTTTAGTTTTTTTTACTGTTTCCTTTATCTCATTGAATCCGGGTTTTTCCCCTTTTATTCTATTTAATATTTCTCCTAAAATTTCTCCTAATCTAAAATCTTAACATTTATTATTTCTTGGAAATTAAAGCGAAACAGGTGGAGGAAAAACATATAAGACTGTTTGAAAAAAAAAAATATTTGGCATCTCTTAAGTAACCGGCAAATACAATATTGTATTTAAATTTTGAGTTCGCAAGGCACTATAGTCAACTCTCAAGTCAACAAAAAAAAAAGGGGGGGCATTGCGCAAATATGTTTAATGAAAAGCAGAAAAATATTTTAATAGCTGTGGTTTGGTCTCAATAAGGAAATGCTAAGCTCCGTCCCTCTTCCACGATGAGCATAGCCCGCCATCTTGAGCTTTGAGCTCACTGACGGGCACAGTTTTCAAAGGGATGAAACTAAACATCACTATCTGGACAGTGAAGTGTTTTTTGTGTATTTCCACTGATTCAAATAACACTAAAATCAAGTCGATATGACTATAACATATTTATGAAGTATAAAGAGTACCTTTTTTTAAGTCTGATACACCTATCTGGATAAATGAGGTACTTCTTATTTAGTTTTTTCTCTGAATCGAATAAGATTAAAACAAAGTTGATAGAACAACCATTTTAAAAGTTATGATAGTTTCATGAATCAAAATTATAATTTTAGTCCTTAATACGCATAACATCCTAATAAAATTGAAACCATTAGTTAATGAATTTAATTTTGATTTTAATAAATCAAATAAAAAATATACGTTCGAAACTATATCCCATTTGTATAGTTAGTAATGTCAGACGCATAAAAGTACAAATATGGTATTTTTAATTCATTAAACCTTTATAGTTCTTTTAACTTGTAAACGATTTTATTTATTAACTTGTTTTAGCTGTGTTCGAGGCGTGTATAGACGTACGTACAAAACTGTACTTTATATTCATCTAAAAATAAATAACTTTTAAATTATTAGTGCTATTGATTTTGTGTTGGTCTTCTTCTGTTCAGCGTAAGAAACATAGGAAAGAATAACTCACTTGTCAAGGTAAGAGTTTTAGATGCTTAAATAGGTATAAATTAGGCATTTTACTTTTTAGCCTTCATACTTAGTAAATCTTATAACTTCTGTTCTATTAGCCATATCGACTTGATTTTTGATTCAGTGTTAAAAAAAAAATTATTCCATAGGTTATTCCATAGTAAAAATTATTCCATACCTCACTTGTCTAGGTAGTAAAGTTTAAGTATTTTCTCTTCTGACCATATCTCCTGATCAAGCAAATTCAAGATGGCGGCTAAAACTCACCTCAGGGGTGGGGCGAATTTCAGATATTCATACTAGGTCCAAACCACAACTATTTATACGGTTTCCAACTGAACTTGCCGATTAGTGCCTTTTT